AAAATCCATAACTGTTTGCTACAAGTACTTGTGTTTCTGAACTCAGGACGAGTAATGCTGTGAAAGTCTGGATCATTTGCAGGGTCTCTTAGTGTTTTTCTTACTGTTGCTAGAATTAAGCATGTGGACTCCTCAGTCAACTCTTCTGTAGCATATAGAAGCTGCTACTTGGCTCCTTTTAGTGGCAGTGAGATAGTAAAGTTGGCTTTGCAGAGGAAAAAGACCTATAAAATAAACAAAATTATTTTTCTGCCTTCTGATGGGGTTAATTCTGTCCTTGTGATGTTCTGATACCGAGCCTGACGCATATTTCCTTAGGCTAAAGGACTGAAGTCTCTCTTGGGCATCTGGTCCATTTGGCTGCTTCTGGGAATGAGTGAAGGTTATAGCAAATGCATGGTATCTCAGAAACCTTGAGTTTCAGTAACGACCTCTTCTGCAAATCACAATTTTTGATGGCTAACAACTTCTAAATCTAGACAGATTTCCACAGAAACAGGAGAGAAAGGTTGTGTGTGAAATAATGGTTTTACCATAATAATATCCTCCCTCCCCCTTAGTCTACTGAGGTATTTGGGGTATATGTGTTAGTAAGTTGGAAATACTTACTAGGTTGTCCGTCCTGTCTATGTTCCTCTGTTCTTACTCTCAAAAGCAACAGAAACATTCCAAAAACTGTTGAAAGATGAAGTTTTTATAGAAATTGTATACTCTGTATAATACTCTGGTTTAGTTTTAATGTTTTGAATTAAAATAGTAAATAAAAGTAATTACTTCTAGTAATGTGTTAGAATAAATGTGCAGATGATCAGCATGGGCAGGTGTATGCTAGTGTGTTCAGCTGGAAAGTCTTGAGAAATCACCTGCTTTCAGCTGCCTGCATAGGTGAGAGCTAGGATATATTCACCAAGGGGAAGTAATGTTTTACCAACCTCTTAGTCATTTCATGTAGAAGTCTGGCTTGGTAGGTGAGGGTAGAAGAGTGGATATTGCCTACCTTGAGTTCAGTAGGGCTTTTGACACTGTCTCCCATAACAGCCTTGTAGAGAAGCTGATGATGTAGGGGCTGGATAAGCAGAGAGTGAGGTAGATTGAAAACTGGCTGAATGGCTGGGCACAGAGTATGATGGTTAGTGGCACAAAGTCTAGTTGGAGGCCAGTAACTAAGGTGTGCCCCAGTGTCCAGTCTTTTTTAGCATCTTTATTAATGATCTGGATGATGGGGCAGAATGTACCCTCAGCAGTTTTGCTGATGACACAAAACTGGGAGGAGTGGTTGATAGGCCAGAGGGTTGTGCTGTCATCCAGAGGGATCTCAACAGGCTGGAGAAATGGGCTGACAGGAACCTCATAGCATTCAGCAAGTGGAAGTGCCCATGTGGAAGAACAACTCCATGGGGGCCACCCAGCTGTAAAGCAGACTAGCAGAAAAGGACCTAGGGTCCTGGTGGACACCAAGTTGACCATGAGCCAGCATTGTGCCATTGCTGTGAAGAAGGCAGATGGTCACCTGGACTGCAATAGGAGGAGCATGGCCAGAAAGTCAAGGGAGACGATTCTTCTCTTCTACTCTGTGCTGTTAAGGCCACACCTTGGGTACTGTGTCCAGTTCTGGTCTCCCTAGTACAGGACAGATACAGAGCTATGGGAAACAGTCCACTGAAGATGATTAATGCATTGGAGCATCTCTCCTGTGAGGAAAGGCTGAGAGAGCTGGGATTGCTTAGCATGGAGAAGGCTTGGAGGGAACTCTTCAGTGTTTACAAATACTTGGAGGGAGGGTGTAAAGAAAATTGAGCCAGGTGGTGCCCAGTGACAGGCCGTCAGGCAGTGGGCACAAACTGAAATGAAGGAGGTTCCCTCTGAACATCAGGAAATACTTTCTCACTGTGACCAAGTACTGGCACAGGTTGCCCAGGGAGGTTTTGGAGTCTACATCCTTGGAGATACTCAGATCTGTCTGGACACAGCTCTAGGTTGACTTGCTTGAGCAGGGCGTTGCAGACAAGGTGGCCTCCAGAAGTCCCTTCCAGCCTCAGCCATTCTGTGGATTGATCGTTTGAGTCTGCGTAGTTAATTTCAGTGCAAAATGGAACAATTTCATTTGTGTTCCCTTTACAGTGAAATAAAGAGGTGATGCTCCACATTGTGGGACCTTCAGGACTGGCTTAAACATTCTTCCCCTCCTACACTGAAGTGCTCATTTTTGATCGGTTGCTGATGGTACTGTACCGTGACGCTGCCCAGGGCTCAGCCATTTTGGTGGCTGCTTTCTGGGCAGGACATTTGGAATGACTTGGCTTAAAAAAATAAGAACTTTTGGGCTTTCTGCTTGTTACGAAGCCAGCTAACTTTATAGTTGGTGCTTGAAGGACAGAAGAGCAATTCGGAAATGCAAGACAGTAAAAAAATGGCCCTGTTGCTGAAGAGTTTGTATCATAGAAGTAGTATCCAGAAGCATCCAGGCAACCTGTTGCTATTTTTAAGGTGAAGCCTTACTGAATTAGACCTGTTCAGTACAGAGGAGCACAGCTTATGTGTATTCTGTCAGGAATTGCTTCCTGAGAGAACATCTAACTGCAGATATCAAAATAGTGTCATAGTAGAAGTAGTGTAGTGTTGTATGTTTTTTTGGTGACAGTTGTTTCTTGTGATCAAATAAAACTTTTTTTTAATTGAATAAATTGGGAGACCAGCTTACTCTTCAGTATTCTGGCTGCTTTGCAGCTGCCTTAGGAAGGGGACTTTTGTTGATGTTGGATAGAGCAAAGTCAAGTTTTATTTTAAATCAAGTATCAGGCTTTTGGAAAGTTAATAACAGGTTTTTTTCCCCTGGTTTTGCAGGGAGCTTGCCCAAAGCCTTAGCTTTTTGTACTTGGGACTTGTTCTTAAATCTAATTTATTATTTTCTGGATTGGTTTCTTTTCTTGCTTTAGTGATGTTCTGTGGTCAGTTTGCTTATGTCTTGATGTCCTGGTTCAGCTTAGGATAGGGTTAAGTTTCCCCAGCAATGGGAAGGGAGCTCCAGCCAGGTTATTCAATACCATGCTGACATCAGGTCCGGGCGCCCAAGTGCGGGAACAGTTTCTGTGTTGCTTTCGTCCGTAATGGTACCTGCGATGGGACTGCTGTATCTTTTGTGGTATATCCCTGTATATCTTTTCTCCTGTTTACTGTTATTACTGTTTATTGTTATTGCTATTGTTGTTGTTCAGTTAATACAATAGTGTAACAAATGATATAAAATTTTTCCTTATCTCAACCCCAGGGTTTGTATTTCACTCCCTGCCCCATCAAGGTCGAGGGTGGGGGAGGGACAACAGCGGTGTGGTCTTGGGTTCCAGCAGGACCTAAACTGCCACACTTGAGCAGAGTTAGCCTTTGTACCACAGACTTGAGGAGAAATTGTCTGAGTCCAGTACTCTGACCAGGTTCTTTCAGATATTCCATGTGTGGAGGGTGTAATATTTAATATCAAATTTACTTATTTGGAGATACTTGATGTGACATGGGATTTCTGATTTAGTGGAGCAATCCCAAATATACTGAAATGACAATGCAAATGTAAGTTACACTTGGCAAAATATGGCAATTGCAGTATGCAGTTCAGTTGCACTACCAGTGTGATTCCTATTACTGGTTTCTACAGTAAACTCACCATTGCAACATGGGGCATCCACCCTCACTGGGAAGGAATACAGGGATTGAAGGCAGCTCAAGCCCATTGCTCTCTTCAAAATTCTTTTGTTATTATACTCTGTATTGGGCTGAGCCACATACTTCCTCCATGCTGGTCTGGCTAACTCAGGGAGACATTCACACTTTAATGAACTAAATGGGAGAAAAATTTACACCATCAGTTGATCCACTCAGCTGTGGATCAACCTCCAGTCACCCTATCTTATTCCCTGAGTTGCATGAGCAAGTTGCTGTTTCCCATCTCCTCCAAGCCACCTTCTGTTGTAGGGGTTTATTGGTCAGTCACAAAAATACAAGTTGCAGACTACGGTCCAGTTGCTTTTGTGCTTTACAGACATACCATCCATAAAAGATCCTTTCTCAGAGGGCAGAAGTCCAGCTGCTGAGCACCTAGGGTTTCTACTCTAGTTCAATCAGCCTTAGCAAGAGTAGCATGTCTAAGTAACTTTCTTTCTCCCTTTGCAAGGGGAAAAAAGCAAGATGGTCCTTCATCATATAAAATTATGTGGTAAGGAACCTGCCAAGAGCAGCAAGTCAGCAGCATTTCTATTGTATCTAGATAGGCATCTGAAATATGAAAGTCATTACCAAGTCACGTAATGAACGTCAAAGCAAATTGACTGGGATACTTTGCCTTGAGAAGAGCTGTTCTCTGAAAAAAAGCACTGCCTGTGTTTTCATTTACAGAAGCATTTTTTGGTCAAGTATCTACTTAGGATCCTTTACATGGGGGAGTTGAGAGTTTGACTAAACTAACTTTTTCTTTGCATGAGTAACATTGCTTTGAACTAGTCACTCCTTAGTAGACCTATTTGTTATTTAGACTGTTTTATTTGGAGAATTTAGTGTCCTGGCAAGGAATGTCTCCCTAGAAATCCTGAAGTGTCTGCTTGCATTACCTTGATAGCTGGGAGAGAATAGCTCAAGAGCTGACTTAACACTGCATTGATTTTAGCACAGATGATGCTGCCTGTGATTCCTCAGTTAAGGGTACCTGCTAGTTTCTGTTTAAAGTCAGAGCAAAACTGGGGTCTGGATAACTGCAGACAGAATCCGTGGGTTTTGAGGGACAGGAGCCCAAGCATGCAAATCTTTCTGGGATGCTTCTAAATCTCTGGAGAATGAGAGTTCCAAGTAGGTAATTTGTTCTGTATCTTCAGCTTGCCTGATATGTCATCCATTAAGAAGTTGGGAAGTAATAATAAAGCCTGCATTTAACCTGTCTATTGGCTTTTACTGTAACATTCTAATTGATGCTCTCCTATCTGACCTATTTTTTCCTATGCTGTCTGTTGCAGTGCTTCATGGCCACAGCAGGCTACTAAACAGGATTAGAGGAAACCGACATTAAGACATATAATTTCCTTGCAGCTGGCTGGAACAGCAGTTGTCACTGCCCTCCTGGTGCAGCATGGCATTTGGACTCGGTGTTCTCTGCCTGTTACTATGGGCAATAACAGGTAGGAGTTTACTTCTTGTCTGAGTCACACAGAATGAGTGAAGTAAATGCTTCTGGGAGTGTGTATGCATGTGTGAATGAAATATGAATAAGGCAAGAGCTGGGAAATCTTGTGACTCCTCAGTGCAAAAGGTCTTGTAAAGTACAGCTTCATAACTGGCAGTTGATTGCAAGGGAGGCAGGCAGTTGTGAGTAGCTGTTTGGAGCCTGTTTCAGTAGGGCTGTTTTAGGGGAATTGCATGGGGCAGGAGGGTGTAGTGGGAGAGTTCAAAGAGTTTTCTTTTTCTTGCAGGACAACAGTTTAAGAATGATGAATTGCTTGTGTTCTAAGATACATTTTTTTCTTCTGAAGTATCATAGGATGGGTGATTTACGAGCATTTATGCATGCTCGTTTACATCTCTCACTTCATTATCCACTCTACAGATATGTATTTCCTTTCAAAGACCACAGGACAGTGCTAAGTTTCTGCTTCAGCCACAGAGATGGGTAAATTGTTTCCATAGTCAGGCAGATGAAGAATGATAGTAATTCTTACTAGTGGCTCTGTGTCATAGGGAGACTTAATCTGGCACAGTTAGTTTTGACATGGCAACTACAAAACCATGTATGCAAACATGGGGTTTATTTCTTTAAAAGACATGTTTGAATTCTGGCTGTGGAAATACTGTCAGTACCTGCATTAGCAGGAATTGAGAAAATAATGGTCAGTTACCTGGCTCTCATCTCCTGTAGTATAAGTGGGATGGGCTGTTTGAGAGCCTTGCTAATGTGCTAAGGCTTGAATTGACTACTGAATTTGGAAATGTTGGATGGGGGGGATAGGTGTTAAGTACGACTGTGCTTGTAGCTGGATTGAGGATCTCATAGTGCCAAACTTTTTGAGAAGAACATGGAGCTGAGTTTTTCATTGCTGTAGTAAACAGTGCCTTTTGTAAATAAATAAAAACACTCTCCTATGGGACACTGAGTACCTGCTGTAGGGTCTATGCCAATATCTTTAGAAAAAAACAACAGCTTCAATAGAAGGCAATACTGTGCAGTAAATACTGAATTTTGACTGTAGAGAATGTCCAGTTGTATGCTTTTGACAATACCGTTAATTGTTAGAGACTAGAATATCCTCCACATGCATATAGAAAGTCTTACTTTAATTTTTTAATTGCAATTTTGCTATGCTCTCTTGATTTATATGAGAACAAGACCATTACACTGAGATTACTGGCTGTATTCCAAGCCTCTCTCTGTATCTCAGGTACCAGCACACAGTGTTTAGGGGCTAATACATTCCAGTATCACATTATTTTAGTATTTATTTATTTCCATCTCAATAATTTTCAGTATTCTCCATCCAGTTAATATTAACTCTAACTAAACTGGAAGGTACTTGCTGCTTTCCAGGATATGTTTGCTAAAATACCTCAGTGGATGCTCACCTTTAAGTCAAAAGGACTTTGTTTTTGCTCAAGCCTTAAGGTGAATTGATTCGGGCTTGGGAAGTTGTGAGATGTTCATTCTGCAGTTTTTTACAGCGCATGAGCTTAGGCTTCTAAAGGCTACTTTTTCTATAAAAAGAGAAATTTTCTTACCACTTGTTTTAAAGATAATGAGAAGACTGACTTAATGTAAGAAGGGCTTGATATTGCATCATTGAGTGAATAAATGGGCTCATTAGTGGATATTTTTGGAGGGATACTGAGGAATATGCTCTGGTTTGTCAAAGAATTTGAAGTGGGCTGCTCTCTCCTGTTTAGATGACAATTAATGGGGTTTTTTTTTGTGCATGGTGGCTTTTGGCTAATTAGTGTTTGACTGTTTTTCATGAATGTGGGTTGACCTTGGCTGGCCACCATGTGCCTAGCAAGTCATGCTATCACTTCCTCTTCTCAACCAGACAGGAGAGGAAAACATGATTAAAAGCTCATGGGTTGATATCAGGACAGGGAGATCACATAACAGTTACGGTCAAGAGCAAACCAGACTTGATATAGGGAAGTTGAATTTATTGCCAGTTACTCAGAGTAAGATAATGTGAAGTAAGAAAAAATATAAAAACGCCTTCCTCCCACCTCTCCTTTATTCCCAGGCTCAACTTCACTCCCAACTCATCTAACTCCTTCCCCTGAGCAGCTCAGGCAGATGGGAAATGAGGGCTGCAATCAGTTCATCGTGCTTTGTCTCTGCTACTCCTTCCTCCTCACACTCTTCCCATGCTCCAGGGTGGGGTCCCTCCCACAGGGATACAGTCCTTCACAAACTTCTCTGTGGGTCCTTTCCCATGGGCTCTAGTTCTTCAAAAAACTACTCCAGCACAGGTCCTTTCTACAGGGTGCAATCCTTCAGGAATGGACTGATCCATCACGGATACCCTGTGGGGTCACAGGTCCTGCCAGAAAACGTGCTTCTGCATGGGCTCCTCTCCACAGGGCTGCAGTTCCTGCCAGGAGGCTGCTCTAGTGCAGGCTCTCCATGGGGTCACAGCTTCCTTTAGCGCTCATCCACCTGCTCCAGTGTAAGGTCCTCCCCAGGCTGCAGCTGGAGATCTGCTTCGCTGTTAACCTCCATGGGCTGCAGAGGGGCAACCTTTTTCACCATGGTCTTCTCCATGGGCTGCAGGGGAATCCCTGCTCTGGTGCCTGGAGCACCTCCTCCCCTTCCTTCTTCACTGACCTTGGGGTCTGCAGGGTTGTTTCTCTCATATTCTCACTCCTGTCTCCTGACTGCTGCTGTTGTGCAGTGTTTTTTACCCTTTCTTAAATATGTTATCATAGGGGTGCTACCAGTGTTGCTGATGTGCTCGGCCTTGGCCAGCAGTGGGTGGTTCTTGAAACTGGCTGGGTCTGACATGGGAGCAGCTTTTCACTGAAGCCACCCCTGCAGTCCATTTGCCCCCACCCCCTGACTACCAAAACCTTGCAACATAAACCAAATACAATGAAAAACAAAGCCAGAACAGCAGGCAGATCACCTAATGGATACAGTTATCTACCCCTGACTGATGTTTGTGCCTCTTGGGAGGCTTGAGCTGTATGTTGCAGTAGCTATTAGTGGGTGCTGTGTACCATGCCTCTGTCACTCAGCGTCTCGTGCAGTTTGGATGATTGACTTTCCAAATCTGTGGATACAGCTCCTAATTTCTCCACATAGGCATTCCTTATAATGTCAGTCTCATTTCACTGGCTTATATCCATTCATTGATGAAATCAGTTTATATTGAAATAGATGTAAATTATTCTGGCTGCTAAGAAAAATCAATAGTTTTTATGATAATGTATCTAATTTTTTTTTCTTCCTATGAGAGATAGAAGACATTGCTTTCCACCACGGAAGCAACAGTTTACTTTTCGACAGGGAATCCAGCACCTTGGAATCAATTCAGTCTAGCTCTTTTCTTGAGCAGGCATATTCTAATCTGGCATTTGAGGCAGACCTTGCAAATACTGCTATTGGAATGCATTTCTGCAAATATAATAGCATTTTCATGGCTGACTCTCAGTTTTCTCATACTGTGTGTTCGGTATTGTAGTTCATTGTTCTGAGTTTAGCCACTCCAATAAAAATGTGAAGGTGGGTTGGCAGGTAATTGCAGTCATAGGTGTTGTGCAGTTTAGCCTCCTGTTTTTAATTCCATGCAGCCCAGCCATTGATTGCATGACCTCACAGAGTCTTTGCTAATCATCACTAGTATCTTTTTCTTCACTCCAGGGGAGGGTGTTTATAAATACATTACAAACCATCAGTTTTCAACACAATTCATTACTGCTGGTCTTGGACTGTGAAGAATAAGATTAATACCCTTTTCTTCCCATTTATACCTATTTAATTTGCATTTTTATCTAACACATGAAACACAGTTCAGGAGCGTCAAAGGACACTTTAAGATGTAGGTGTACCTTTGGAATGACAGTGGAGCTACTAGCCTGGGGTTGCAGTGCATTTTTTGTTACTTATACTGCCATGGCTAAGTGTTCTAGGAATGTGTTCTGGTTCACACAGGTCTTTCCAGAGAGGCAAGATGGTGTAGTGCCTGATTACGACCCCTTGAGATTAGTGAGTTATGCAGTATGCCAGGTTAATTCACGTTGTTCAAGCCTCTGTTGAAAGTGGTCTGGTGTTTTCTCATGGAGGGATGTAATGGCTGCAGCCATGCATACACCCTTGTAGTCTCCCACTACAAATATCCAGTGTAATTGGTGGGATGGAGGAGCTGTCTGTTAAGTGATTTAGTGTGCTTAGATGATCATGTGTGTATTAAAGAGAGAATGAGCTGTGGGTTGGATGAATTCATTCAACAGGCCAGATCTGGTCTGTGGTTTAGGCACATTTGGATTGTCAGCATATCCACAGCCTGATTACAAAAAAAAAAAAAAAGGAGGGGGGAGGGGAAGGGGCAAGGGAGAAGTGTTCTTTAGGTGTGTGGATTTTGGTTTTGGGGTTTTATTTTTGTTGTTCTCTGAATAGCATTTAGTTGATTTTTCAGTGACAGGGTTGATGATAATTCATGGAATGAAAACAATACTTGGAGAGGACCATCAGGCCCATCGAACTAGTTAGAGACCGTTGACAGATCCTGGAAATGAGAAGTGAATGATAAACTTCATGAAGGCTGCTGTAATGGCCACAAAAGCTTTGCAGCTCATTGTTGTAGATGTAACTAGATTACTGGCTCTAGCTTTGTGTGGAGAATTTTCTTTTATGTAACTGTGCTTTTTTTTTTTTTTTTTTCTATTTGTTCTCCTTCTCCTTTGCAGTGCTTAATGTGCAGTCAACCCCCTTACTGGGGCCCAAAAGAGCCCTTTGGTATCACAGATGTGTCCCTGTTGAAAGACCTGTAAGACTTCAGGGAAAGGGAGGGGAAGCACTAAGTAACCTGAAAGCAGCCTGTAGAAAAAGAGTGAGAACATGTTCACAGTGCACAGAGATGTTAGCTGTTGCTAGAGGAACTGATGCAGTGACATCTCAGATATTGATGGATCTCAGTAATACGGCTTTTCTGGTTTCCAGAACAGTGTTTTCTATAGGCCCTTACTTTAAAGCTTCTGGAGTATAAGCCTTTTTCAGCATTTATGATATAAAGCGTGCTTTTTAGGTGGTTTATAACTCTGCTGTGGAAATTGCTCTAGCTTTAAAATTGGAATTCAAGTTCTCTTAGATGACTTCAGTAAAAAAAAAAAAAAGATATTTTTATTTTTGCTTCCAGAACCTTATCAAAATTGTTTCAATGTGTTGTTATGGTGGTAGGAAAAATAAAAAATTTCTTACTGATACAGCATTTTTCCTCTCAAAATTCTCCAAAATGAGGTTACTTGGATAGATAAAAAAATAATTAACCCTAAAAATAGAATGGAACTAGTTAGCTTAAAGAGAGTGGAGGGAGCAGATGTCAAAAAAACAGAAACAGTCCTGCTCTTCCTGTAGGAAACTGCTGTAGGACCTTCCACACTCATGCAGTTCAGAGGCTTTTGGGCTGTGAGAATAGTGTGCCGTGTGAGCTCTCAGTGCTCTGCTGCCAGCAAGAAGGTAATGGGAGAAGATTCTGGTCAAATGTGACTTTTCTTGGTGTAGGGTCTGAATCTGAGCTGCTTTTCTCTGTTGCACATTCCTTCTTGCCGCTTCTTTCTGCTTCTTGTACTGCTTGCTGCTAGGGAGAACAAATAGGTGAGCCCACAAGTGGATAGTTCTGTCCTTACAGGGTTTCAGACTGGGGTAATTAGCCATAATGAACCAGTGTTAGTACACTGTCACAATTTGCTACTTACTGACTGAAGAATATTTGCCTCCAAGTCATTCAAGTGCTCATGGTTGTGTGAGCCTGCCAGAGAGGGGAGCGAGCATCTGTTGGGTTTTGCAGCTGGTCTCCATGTCAGGTTGAGGAAAGATCTCCAGCCAGCTGTGATGGAGGAACAGCTGTGTTCCTGCTGGGCTCTTGACATTAGTGGACTCCTGCACTTAGATGTGAAAGAGTGGTAGCATGCAGCTCAAAGAAGGGTGCGGATGTTTCCTCACTGAAGGAAATTTCTTTAAAATGAAGCTATATTCCACAGTGTGACTGCTCGTTAGGGTTTTGGTGGGGGGTATGTTGTTTTATTTTTTAGTGTAACCAACTTGCCTGGTTATGTCTCTGGATATGTCAGTGTTGTCCTATTGCAGACCTAACAAGGTACAGCTAAAAGGAAGGGGAACACTTTGCTATTGATGGCTCAGGCACCAGAAGGCTTTCAGGACTTGTAATAAAGGGAAGCAGTCTTTCTGTTGGTAACCCGAATGAGTACTTCTAAACAACGAATAGAATTGCATGATGCTATTTTTTGCCATTACTGGTCAGAGTAGAACTGTGCTTTAATTTCTGACCAGTTAACTAAAGGAAAACAGCTGTGCTATGACCTCGGACAGCAGGTAATGGTTTAACCTATACAGAAGTTACTACGTGACCTTTTATGTGGTACACTTTCAGTAAATTTTCTGTAAGTAAGAGACCTCACTGACTCTTACTTCATCCCATTGCATATTGGAGATTGTATCAGGTGAAGTGGAATCTGAATTTGGAGCTCAGATTAAATTCACTCTAAGTAGGTATTACATATTTTTCATCTGAAGACAGTTAATGGACACGCCTGGTGCCAAGCTGAAATAGTCTGCTAAATTCATTCTTGCCCACCTGCTTCTAGAATTTAACTTGAATGTAACTAGTTGAAGCAAGAGATTAAATTTTTATTACTTTGATATTTGGATTACACTGTTAGATATAAATTAGAGTTGCCAGGGAAATAATTTTTCCATTATACAGAAATTCTGAAGCTTAATATATTTTCCATTCTTTACTGGGATGAAACCAAGACCTTCTGACATTTGAAAAAGGGGGTAGCTAAGGCCTGTGGTTAGGATGCTTGCTTGGGAGATTTAGTTTCAAAGTCATGCATTATTTTAGGAGTATGCTGGACTTGTTTCTCTCTGTGGCTAATGGAACACCATTAATTTCATGGGAGGTTGATTCTATGATGTGGTAGTTGATGTATTAAACCAAGTGGCAGAGTGAGCTTTGAAGCTTTGTTTGACCAGGCTGAGTGAGGGCTTGGAGTCTGGCCTCAGGTTAGAGCTTTGGATTATTCCAGTTGTGTAAGTCTGTCTCCAAGACAAAATTATTGGTTGTTCTTTTCTGAACAAATAAATGATGAAATTTTAAATTTATTTTAACAGGTTGGTCACTTTCTCCCTCAGGGATGAGTTAGAGAAAGGAAGTGATTAAGATGGCCTACAAAGGAGTTTTTTTGACCCACCTTCATAGTGCTGTTCCTAAAGTCTTAATTGTAATGAGTTGTTACTGACCTAATATTGCACATCCACAGAATCATGTTTCTGTTTTAACCTATTAAAGGCCTGTTTCTCATCTCTCTGATCTGGAGGATTAAATTATTATGGGTTGAAAAAGAAGAGAATGGTTAAATGGGCTGCCTGACTTCTATATTTCATTTTAACGCAGAGCTCTGTGGCTCCTCTGTCCTAAGTTGTGCAGACAACTTAAAGGAAAGACTTGTGATGACAATTCAGAGTCTCTGCCAGGGCATTATGTTCTTGGAGGTGAAAGGGAATGTAGATGAAATATTTATATACAATGTGAAATAAAAATAAATGCACAAATTCTGAGCATCTCCTGGATACGGATAAAGATACTTCATGTCTGGGCTATGTTAGAACAGGACGGGTTGGTTTAAATTCATGTCCCTCTGGATAATTTTTTTTTACTGAAAGTATAAAGTGGAAGAGCAAACAGCATCCCAGCTCATTGTGAAGGAGTAGCTGGAGTCAGACAAATGGTACTTGAAGCTGTTTATCCTTTTTGTCAGCTTCCTATTCAGCTGTATCTATTTGCAAGTCATTGGTCTTTTTCAAAAATTTGTTTCATGTTTTTTTCACCCCAAATAGCCAGCTGTGCAAAAACATGAAGTCTTGTCCTCTCTATACCTCAGTCTGTGGTGCAGTTTTTTTGGTTTGAGTTTTTTGCATTGAACTTAACCTATTTTGCAAGCTGTACATTCATCCTGGGCAGTATGATGCCCCACAGATATTTCAGTAGCTTTGTTCAGATCATGTGTTGTGAAAGAGTGTCCTTCAGTTCAGCCCAGAAGATGTGGTGGGAGCTGTAGTGCGGTGGCTGGACACACTACATGCGTAGAAGAATCTCTGCATCTCCTAGGCTCTAGGTCATGGCCAGACCTAACTCCTATTGCCAGCCTGTTCATACCCCTTGATTTAATTTTTCCTGCCCATTAGCTCAACAGATTTGAGCTGGAATCCATTGGTTAAGCTGCCTTTTTCTCCTGCTATATACTATTGTGAATAATGAGATTTGTGCTGCCAGAATTCACCTGTTAAAGATGTGCAAAGCAGGCAGACTCAACTTTGTCTTCTATTATTGTGTGAGCTCCACAAGTGGTGACATCTTGTTTTCATTGGTTGAGTTAGCAAGTTTAGTTGAAAACCACATTAAGAAGAAAGTCCTGGTTTTACTCAGCTTTTTTTGAAGCATGATCAGATTTTTCTGAAGAGGAGGAGGCTGAGGGGAGACCTCATTGCCCTCTACAACTACATGAAAGGAGGTTGCAGAGAGCTGGGGATGAGTCTCTAACCAAGTAATAAGTGCTAGAACAAGAGGTAATGGCCTCAAGTTGCACCAGGGAAGGTTTAGACTGGATATTAGGAAGCATTTATTTCCAGAACAGGTTGTTAGGTGTTGGAATGGGCTGCCCAGGTGGTGGAGTCCCCATCCCTGGAGGTATTTAAGAGTTGAGTCGACTCAGCACTGAGGTATCTGGTGTAGTTGGGAACTGTCAGTGTTAGGATAACGGTTGGACTAAATGATCTTCAAGGTCTTTTCCAACCTAGACAATTCTGTGATTCTGTGAAGTTGCATATTTGTAGAGTGGAATTCTGAAGAGCAGTTATAACCAGGAAAAAAATACCTACAAAAGATGTTTAAAATTGACTGAGAGATACAGTGAATTCATGCTTGATTTGGACACTTCACACTCAGTGATGTTCTATAAAAGTAATTCTGATGTCATACTAAAAGATTACAACTTCACTGCAAAGGAAAGAAAGATGCTTCCTACTGGAGCAGCTCTTGGGGTTTCACGTGAACTAGTAGGTAAAGCAGCAAAAGTTTGAGAATTTAATCCAGTTTTTGTATTAAGCCCAGCAGTTACGTTGGTGTGAGAGACTCTTCATGAAGCTCAAGTAGCAAATGTTTCTTCTGCATATATTTTTGCTGCTTTCTCCCTCAAATGAAACAGTGACATGTTACAGCATCTTATTTGAGTTTTTTTAAAACATGTTTTGGTCACTATATGGTGGGTGTAATGGAGGTACCTCATGATTATTGTTTGTGTTCCCTGCTCTGTTCTTGGTTTTAAGTATTGGCAGCTCACTTTCATATCTATGTATTTGTATATGTAGCAAGGGAGTAAGAGGTGTTTTGCAAAACATACCAAGATCCTACACTGAAAAATCATCCAAACTACAAATAATATTGCAAAGGGATGTGCTGAAAAAAAGTAGTGGTGACACTTAGTGAAAGGAGATGAGATTATTTAAGCAGGGTACCACCTGCCTTTATCTTGTCTCCTGTGATAAGCCATTTTTGGTCACAATAAACTATATTATGGCTTGGTTGTAGTGTTGTGCCTTATGTTGGTGGTGTTGTTTCAGGTTCCAGTTGTGAGCAGTGCAGAGAAGGAGCCACATACCCAGGTGCAGTAATATCTCCCAACTTAGAAACCACTAAAATTATGCGAGTTCCTCATGCTATGTCAGTGTCCGACTGCATCGCAGCATGTTGTGACCTCTCTGGTTGTGACTTGTCCTGGATGTTTGAACGACGCTGTTACATCGTGAACTGCCAACACAAAGAGAATTGTGAACCTAAAAAAATTGAAACTGTGAAGTCCTATCTTACTTTTGTGTTGAGGCCTTCTCAGAGGCCAGCCTCGCTACTGGGATTTGGGCAAGTGATCCCAAGCATGGTCCACTCTGTGGGACTCCAGAATGAACCGTCTGAGGAAGTGAGTAGCCTGAAGGAGCTGTCTCTGCTTGGCAAAGATCCCAGCCTTGAGGAGATACCAGAATACATTGATGATTATAAAGAGTTGGAGCAGGATCCCTTTCAGGTGAGCATCAAACATGAGCAGAAGGAGAGCACAGATTATGCTGACTGGGGCCTGATGGTGGCAGGTGAAAACAGCTTCAACTCTTCTGTGGGTGATGATGGAGATAACCAAGAAGACTTTTCTGAAAAGAAAGGGGAGTTTGGGAAGGTAGAAAGTCTTCTGAATAAAAACAGCTCTGAACTGAACTCTGTCACTGAACACTCCACAGAGAGGTTGTCATCTCTCCTGGAAATGACACCGTTCCCTGAGAAGACATCTGAAAGTGAAGCAGCTGTTCAACTTCTTGCACAACCTGATGACGCTTTGCAAAAAGAGGTATGTTTGCTACTTAAGAAGCAGGCAGAGTATGGTGAGGACACTTTGCAATTGTTTTGGTTTTCAAAACAAATTACTTTATTGCTTTGTAATGTAACCCTAATGTTCAGATGACTTATAGTTCTGTTACAGCGTAGAAAAGGCTGAAGGGGAGAGGATTGTCAGTAGGCAGATAAATTGCTGAAGGACTCTTTTCTATCTGATGAGAAGGAGCAGAACTCCTTTTGGGACACTGTGGGGTTTCCTTTTAATCATACGGATGAATGGGCTTGGACCTGGTATAATAGTATTACAGGTATAACTCAGAAGTTAGCTGAGCAATACTGGTGGACCCTCTAGTATCCAGTAGCCAAGACCAGTAAATGTAAGTTTCTCCATCAATAAAATTAAGCATGTTGTATGGGTTTCATGTTACTAACGCATAGTGATGTTACAGTTGTAATGGTGCTGAGCAAATACCTTTTGTAATGCTTTTAAAGAGGCAAGGTACATGAGGAGGGACATTAGCAGTTTTGGACCACAAAGTACGACAGGATAAAGTAGAGAAGGTGTTTTTGTTCTCAGAAACCTTTTCTTGAGTTTGGCAATAAGAAAAATAAGTTAAATACTTAAAACGTAATTTAGATAAGATGCACCCGTTCTCTATGCCAACCAGTTTGATTTGTTGGGGCTAAAGGGACTCCGGTTCCTTAAGAACAAGGTGGGATCAGTTGGAAAGCTGAAACAGGCTGTAAAGTCAACATTTTCTGGGTTTGTCACGCACCCCTGCTAGAGGGAAGAGGAAATTAAGCAATGTTATCTGGATTGCTCTAAGTTCCACCAGGTTAATCAGCAACTACCTATCTCTTGCTGTAAAAATGGTAAGTTATTGCCATTACTGTAGGGAAAGAAAATACATGTAGATAAGAAGATTGCATGAAATCTGTTACAACTGAGGTTCTTGGAGGGGATGACTGATACAGCAGAAGTATGAGTGGACGATGGCAAGCCTTAAGTTAGATTGTAACTTGGATGCCATTGCAGCCTAGAGGTGAGGCAGTTTCTGGGCTCTGCTTTGAGATTTTCTAGATATTCTGAGAACTTCTGGGATTCTTGAGGGGCCTGTGGGAGTGCTGTGAGGAACGTGAGTGGTTGCTGCAGCTAGGAGAGGACAGCTAGGAGAGACTGGGACCTCTAGCAGTTTCCCACAAGCTCTATCAGCTGTTCTTGATCAAAGGGTGCTTTGGGTTTTTGTCGTAGCTGGCTCATGATCATGGAGGGTGATGCACCATCTCAGCAAGTGCTAGGAGGAGACCTAGGAGCTCTGCCTAGAGATGGCAATGAGCACTACAGTCTTGTTTATATGGGTCAGGGCTGGCAGGCCAGTTGTTGTGGGCAATGTTAGGGTGCATGTCTGCTCCAGATTGCCTGGTTAGGAAGAAGTAGAAGAAACCTTCAGGCAACTGGAAGGAGCCTCATATTCACAGCCCATGGCCCTTATGGGGATTTAAGCCACCCCAATACCTATGGGGTGGGGGAAGGGCAAGAGAGCAGGGCATAAGCAATGCAGGAAGTTTTTGCAATGTGTCGATGATAAATTCAAGCTGTCAGAGGTAACTGTGGAGCTGACAAGGAGAGAGGCTCTGCTGGACCTCACCTTTGCAGGCAAGGATTGGTCAGGGATGTGGCCATGAGGTGGCGGAGTTCAGGCTCCCGAGAGGGACAGGAATAAGTCAGAAAGCAGGGTCACATCCATGGGCTTCAGGAGAGCAGCCTTTGGCCTGTTGTGGGATCTGTCTGGAAGAATCCCAAGGGAGACTGTCCTGGAGATAAGTGAGGACCATGAGAGCAGGTTGCTTTTCAAGGATCACCTTCTCCAGGCTCAAGATAGCCTGTGACTTTTATGATTGACCAAGTTGGTCTGGAGTGTATTGGCATGAGTGAGAAGAGATTAGAACTTGGTTCCACGTGTATGGAAGAACATTTGATAACAGGTGAAGTGCTGTTGCAAGTTGAAAAGTGGGTACTGCTTCTGCAAGCAGATTGACAACTTTGAGTTCACCTAAAGCATGTGGCAAACAGAGCTGAGCAAATTTGTTCCCCGTCTCTAAGGGATGATGTGAATACAGCTTTATGAAAGTTGAGATTTCACATCTTGCAGTGGTAATGATAGATATGGCCAAGCCTACTTTGTAAATCTCTATGTTGATATTGCTACCCTAGCCAAAATAGGAAGATTTTGCTTTGTCTTCATGTACTGCCTGTGTGGATGGGAGTTTATTACAAAGTGAAATGGAAAGAAACCTGTTTCTTCACTGGAACATGGAGGAGGCATTCCTATGTGGCTTTATGCTAACATTATGCTAGCACAGCCATAGTTCCTGTGGAAAGGCAGAGGGATGAGCTTGCTTCTTTCAGTGTAGAAGGGATGAATCTCTAAAACTGGGTCAGTCTCTAGCCCAGGCTGGTAGTGATTTTGAAGAGCCAATAAGACAACTGTAGTTAGATGATCTGGTCGTGCTCTGTTAGTAGAGCTGTAGAGGGTTAATGGGATAGCATTGAAAGCAGGTCCTGAAATGTATTGTAAAAGCTCTCTATTAATGTAGAGAAAGGTTAAGAACCTGGAGAAGAAGAAAGTTTTGAGAAACTGCCAAAGCCTCTGCAGCCTTTGTTTCCCAAATGGGAATCCTTTGAATTTAGACATTTGTAGAGAAATTAAGATGATGAGCAGTTTTGGTAAACACCTTTCTCTGGCCTTCCCCAGGTTCAGCTTCAGTCCAGGCACATCTCCTCTGCCTTTCCTAGTACTTACTTCCCTTCTCTTACCTTTGGTGAAGTAAAAGGTGGCACAGGAGGTTGGGGTCAGTGCATGGCAGTTTCCTTTTTGTCACTTGTTGCTTCTTTCTCTTTTCTACCACTTTTTGTTCCTTTTTACTTGTTCCCTCTGCTCTGGCATGGGCTTCTCTGTGGGCCTCAGTCCCCTGGGAGGTGTTATGAAGTGCCTCCTTCCAAGAGGGTGTCACCAGTCTTTCCACATATTCCCTCTCATGTCTCCTGTTGTGCACACCCCCACAACTTCTTCCTGTGTCCCCCTGCTCCCAATGACTATTGCCTTTTCTTAACTGTGTCTGGTTGTAGTGTTGATGCATGGTGGCTTGTTTCCATCCATTGCCAAACTGTCTGGGACCACAGGGGTAACTCCTGCAGCCAGTCCCTGTTCTGCTGATTAAGGATACCAGTTAAACTCAGACACCAGAGTGAAAAGACCAGGTGTATTTTACTAGTGATAAGTGTAATACAGAAAACATGCAGTAAGAAAAAGCAGAATAGTGCTCTTAAAGCAGCAAACAGGAAAAAACAGGGTAATGCATTAAATCATTACTATATGAGAGAGAGAATGGAGATTAAGAAAAACACATCACCGCTTGCGTATATTATCATCATCCAGCCCTGCAGTCGCTGGGCAGCCCCAGTTACAGCGAGGGTTTGCAGAGCCTGTCCCGGCAAGTGGGAAATCCTGCGCGGTGCATCCACCCATATGTGAGGCTTCCGAAGTCTCTGCAAACAGGCCCGGCCTTATATACCAGAGATCGACAAGCCAGAATAGCTGGCACATTTGTTTGGAGTGGAAAATTTCTGGTTTCATTCTCCTGTTGGATTCCACCCAGAGCCTGGCCAGGGCTCCTGGGGGGGGGGGGAAGGGGGGGGGGAAACCAAGGGAGTTTCTAACAAGGCCAAATACCTGGGTTCTAGGCCTTGAACAAGGCTAAACAAGGGAATTTGGATACATTCTCTCATCACTACTGATTCTATTTTGTCTAAGCTGCATCTTTCACTAGCGAGTTTACATACTTTATTAATGATTATAGACTAAGTTAGCAGCTTCGGCCTGGGGCCTGTTGTTCAGGCTTCAGTACTTCAAAGCTTTAGCACTTTTTACATCAGCATAAGTGCATTGTTATAACTTAGTACAATACCTACTAGCGCAATGGTTATCAGTTATAAAATATACAGGATTCATCTAAAGGTCAACTCTGGCTTGGGCCAGTTGTCCAAGCCTTAGCACTTCAGTCCCCTGCCACCCAAACCCTACTGGTTACACCTAACACAAACTTCTGGCTTGACTTCAAGTTTTTCTGGTTTGGGAACAACACTTGTGACTCTAGTGGAAAAGATACTGCTTATGGTAAATTCTGGTGATCAGATTTCCTTCTTATGTGTCTCTCTCCAACAAGCAGATGTTTTAATTAAATCTCATATGGATTGTTCAGTCACATATTTGTGTTTCCTTCTGAAAAAATGTTTCTTTGGAAACCAAATTTTTTTTTAAGGAAATACTAAGTTTTTATACTGAATTAAAAATGTCAAGATGTCTCCAAGTAGTTTTCTCCCTGGTATATGCTCCAAACTACCTCTCAAACTGTGGTCTTTTTGTATACGTTAGGAAAATTTGAAGGTCCTAAAACTCTTTTTGCTAATCACTTTAATGAAATACCCTCTGTTTATTGCATGTTATACAATATTTTTCTATCCTCCACTTAATTCTGCTACAGCAGTTCTGTAGCTCTCTTCCTGGATCCCTGCTGATGCACTCCTTTCTGCAGCTTCCAGACAAAGCTGTTTATACAAGCAAGACAGAACAAGGTGGAAAAAATGTGGTTCACTCCCTTCACACTAGTCAGCAGGATGCAGCGTCCTCAGGTGCTGTGTTCTTTGGGGAAGGATCTGGAAAGAGATTTTTAAACTGAGACCCAGCCTATTGCAGGTTTTCAGAGTCTGTGCCCTAGGACCATCTTTGCCATAAATGCAGTCAGGTGTAGCGGGGTTTTGTATATGACTTAGGATAGAGTGTATGGGGTTTGTCACTTAACTGAGTAACTTGGCTTTTGGGTTTACATCAGAGTTCAGAGTGACCTTCTGGACTGTCTCCCTGTAGCAGCTCAATAATATAAATGGATTTAGATATCTGCACAGAGTAAATGCTGTCAGGCTTTCCAAGACAGAAATCTGCAGTGCTGCCCATCCTTGAAGTAAGATACCTGTGAAGTATTAGTTGTCTTTTTAAAATTTCCTGTTAACTGCTGATCTGTTTAGCACGGTGAGATTTTTCAGGTCTTAGTCAGATTCCTACTGCTGTGTTGATGCAATGTTTCAAACATTTATTTATTAGGTTAGGCCTGACTTGATTCTTGAGTTCATTGCATTTGCAGGAATAATGGTGCAGTCAAAATGCATAAAGCTCTACCTGAGAAAGCTTAAGATGGCTGACAGAATATATGTAGTTCCAATGTCTGATTGATATGCCTTCAGAGTTGGAATGACGTGTAATATCAGAGATTCTCATACTTTACTTTAGCTTCAGTTTTGAGGCCTGCGGATGCTGAACAGTCCTGTTTGGTTAAAAATGCATTGACTTAATCCCTAGGGAATGTATAAGACCCCTGAAAGATGCTTTGTTATTTAGATTTACCTGTCAAAAATATTTATTTCTTTAAGTCTGTGCTTCATATCGTACAATATGACAGTCTTTTACAGATCCCCAACTACACAATTAGTAGAGGTCATACTTGCTTGAAATCATTAGACAGATAACTGAATGCAGAGAAGGAGAAGCAGACCAGTGAAAGAGCAGTTTTGCTGCTGACAATTGCTCACCATGAGGTTTTCCAGAAAAATGAGAGCAAATGGTACTGCAGTTATGTAGTAGTCATTTGTGCAGAGGGACATGGAGGACACACTGCTGGGGAAGCAGTCGTATAAAACATAACACTTAGCAGCTCTTGACTCACCAGAGTCCTGATCAGTTGTCTTCAGGAGTGCTTGAGGAAGATGCTTCCTTGAGGGGCAAATGTGGGTTGCCTGGAGGATCAGGATGGAACAGGGCAACATGGTTGGGCTTGTCCTTCCCATTCATGAGGGGAAAAGAAAGCACCCAATCTATGGGGTCAGCCAGGGACCAGAAGTGATGAAGGATCCCCTTGTCGTGATGCTGTTGCCTGCACTGTAACTTTGAGCTTCCCCAGGGAACTGCATGACTATTTTTTTCCTTTTGAATTATGGGGATGTTGTTTCCTGTTGGAATTCTCAAGAGATTTGCACTCAAGTCAAACCCCGAGAACTGAAGGACATGGGCCCTCATGATTGGTGTGTTTATTTTGTAACAAGCAGTAGCAGTTGTACACATGGGTAAAAGCAAACAATAAAACCACAAAGCCCATACCAACAGAACCACTTACCCTACTCACACTCAGAAAGAATCTTTCTTTTCTTTCCTTAAAGAAACTTAGGTTAATCTTGCCTTCCACATATGTTCCAATGTATTTCTCAGTAATAGTTTCTGCCTGAGAGCTCAAATTTATTATATTAGCCCTGCCCCAATTATCTGCTGTCTCCTAACGTTCTTAGTTTAAGCTGTCTTTTCAGCTGTGACACCACTTCAGACATGGCAGTGTCACAGGGCACCTCTTGACTGCAGTCTTGCCTAGGCTTGCTGGCTGAAGAGATGTTTGGTGCCATTGCAGAAGAAAGTGTCCTGGGAGAGGTATGTTTAAGATGACTTTGTCCCCATTTGTCCTACAAAGCCAGGATGGCTGCTTCTCAGCTGATAGACTGGCAAAGGGCAAGGAGAGGAGGAAAGCCAGAGGAATCACAGAATCAGCTAGGTTGGAAAGGACCTTGAAGATCATCTAGTCCAACCGTTAACCTAGCACTGACAGTTCCCAACTACACCACATCCCTCAGCGCTAAGTCAACCCTACTCTTAAACACCTCCAGGGATGGGGACTCCACCACCTCCCTGGGCAGCCCATTCCAATGCCTAACAACCCGTTATGTAAAAAAATGCTTCCTAACATCTAGTCTAAACTTCCCCTGGCACAACTTGAGGCCATTACCTGTTCTCCTATCACTTACTACTTGGTTCAAGAGACTTATCCCCAGCTCTCTGCAGCTTCCTTTCAGGTAGCTGTAGAGGGTGATGAGGTCTCCCCTCAGCCTCCTCTTCTCCAGACTAAACACCCCCAGTTCCCTTAGCCGTTCCCCATATGACCTGTGCTCCAGACCCTGCACCAGCTTTGTTGCCCTTCTCTGGACACACTCGAGTCATTCAATGTCCTTTTTGTAGTGAGGGGCCCAAAACTGAACACAGGAATCGAGGTGCGGCCTCACCAGTGCCGAGTACAGGGGCAAGATCCCTTCCCTGTCCCTGCTGGGCACGCTATTGCTGACACAAGCCAGGATGCCACTGGCTTTCTTGGCCACCTGGGCACACTGCTGGCTCATGTTCAGCTGGCTGTCAATTGACAGAAGGCTCAGAAGCTCAGAAAAGTACACTTCCCTCAAATTTGGAAGGTAAGGTGAAGAAACACTTTGGTTTGCCGAAGTGCAGTAAAGAAGATCTTTTTCGAAGATGCGGGATGGAGTGAGTATGTAAAGGAGAGCTGTCTCAAGGAAACACCTTTTGTCAAGGTGTGAGGCCAGACGGTCTTGAGGTTCTCTGTGTGCATGTTAATGTTGTCAAGGTTGAGATTCTTGCTGAGAGCCTAAGGTTGACATGCTGAAGGCACTACCTTGGGGGGGAGCTGCAGTCTGTGATTCTGCTGTCAGTGTCCCAGCTGCTCAGAGAGACCATATCACCATCTTTATCTTGAGCAGAGCTGGAGATGTGGCCCCAAAGGTACTTGCATTGTCTCTGTTATGGACCCATCTGGAGGTGCAGCTCTTAGTGTGGTCTTCAGCATCCTCACAGTTGTCATTGTCCCAGCTGCACAGGGATCTTTTCTCTCTGTCCTTGTTGAAGGCAGAGGTAGAGTTGCGAATGACTTCCATGCTCTGTTTCCTTGCAGGCTGGGAAGCAGCGGTCTCTGGCATTGGTTTCACTTTCCCAGATGCACAGGGGGCTTTTCTTCCTGTCCGCATCCAAGGCAGAGCTGCTCTGTTTTCCTAGGGAGGCAACAGATTGCAGAGTCAAAATGGAGCACCTGAAATAGAAAGATAAGCTGAGAACTGTGACTGTTCAGCCTTGAGCAGAGGGGGTTCAGGGGGATCTTACCAATGTATATAAATAACTATGGCAGGAGTGAAGAGGATGGAGCCAGCCTACTTTCAGTGCTGTCCAGTGACAGGACAAGACAAATTGAAATACAAGGAATTCTAGTTAGACAACAACAAAAAATATTTTTCTTCTTTCCTGTGAGGATGGTCAAGCACTGGAACATGTTTTCCAGAGATGATGTGGATTCTCTGTCCTTGGAGGTATTCAAAACCTGACGGGACACAGTCCTAACAGCCTGCTGTAGTTGACCCTGCTTTGAGGAGGGGGGGTTGGACTAGGCTATCTCCAGAGGTCTCTTGTCACCTCAGGCATTCAGTGATAAGAGTGTGCATTTTGCCAACCTTCATAATTCTGTTCATCCGTTAATAGATTATGTACAAATAATAGCAGCATGTTATATTTTCATGTGCCATACACAGTAGCTGTAATTGTCAAAATGGTTTTCTCTAGATGTTAGGTCAGAAATAAGTCTTGAAAGCGTAAGGAAGAACTATTTGCCTATTGAGACTAATGTGTTGTTGAAAGGTGATAGGGCCTGAGAGAGAGGGGCAAAGTGATGGGCAAAGCTAACACAGTGCTGAGTTATTCCTGCAAAACATGCCATATCCTTTACTGTAGTCCTGATTTACTAACAAGGTGGGTCAATAAGAAGAATACTACTGCTTGTCAATTACTGAGTGAATTAGGGAGATTTAGGGCATTTTATTAGTGGTGAAGAAATAAGGCATGAGCAGGTCCTGGTCGGAGTAGATACAGTAAGAGGCAAGGATTCTGTTATGTTTTTGTGTATACGGCATGAAGACATGTACTTACCACACAGATTTTCTGTCGTTGACTTTTAAAGGTTTATGACTATATTTAGACCTGTTCTACAGTTCTTTATTATTTTGAGAACTTGTAGCTTTAATTGTATTCCTGGTTACCTCATTTTGATGATTATAGCCTACACTGTTCTGCATCTGAAACTTGGAAAATGATTAGCATTTCTTACAAAGCTTGATGAGGGGGAAAGAAAACAGTCCTCTGGATACTCTGTATATGTATAAAACCTTTTAGTAACATAAATCAGTAGGCTCACCCTACATGCTATTTAAAAACCAGCACACCTCTAAATCTGGAAATGTCAAAAATGGCTTGCTTATAACACCTCTTTCCCTATAATTCATTTTTTAGGCTGCTACACCTTCCCCTTCTTCAGACAAACTTGATTTCTCCCAAGGTGTGTCTGAGAAAACCCAGACTCCCACAGTGGCCCCAGAGAATGTCACTGAAAGTGGGGTCATGCTACTTCCCACTAATGCTGTGCCATCTGAGCCCATGCAGCAGTTCACACCACCTGCTACTGCTGCTGAAGCAGGTAATGTTTCAACATAGTTGGAGATCTGAGGGTTGGACAGTGGGTGGGACTGGCTTTACGACTGTCAGGGTTCCAATCTGTTGTTATGAGCTCACTCTTTATCTAAATGTAACATCATCCCATTTTAAACCTGTAGACCTAGAGTAACACTACAAATTCCAGACCCCTTAGCCAGTTACTTCTGAGGTAAAACTCTACCCAAGTCCATCATTAATGGGAAATTGTAGCTTAAGCAAACAAAGCAAATTAAAAGCAGAGATTGAGAGCCTTTTCTACATGGGTTAATTTTTATACTTGGTGAGAATACCTGTGGCTTTCTGAAGCTTCAGAAGTCTCTTCCAGCCATACTATTATTTTTCTCTGACTCTTCAGAACATTGCTCCCTCTCAGAAACTCTTCAGTGGAGTTCCCACTATATATAGTTGTCTGATATCATGCGGCAACATAAGTGGGACCTGAGGAAGCCCAGCTCTTAGTAAGGAAGAACATGGTCTCTTCATCCTGGGGAGAAAGAGTTTTGTTCAAATTTTGAAGCTGTGAGGAAGTTTATCAGAATTCCAGCTGCAGAGCAAAAGTTTTTATTTTGAAAAAGACATGTTTAGCCACTGTGTCCTCTGTAGTTATGTTAAATTCTGTGTATATGTTAGAGTATCTCCCATCTCCTGCTGAGTTTTCGGCCTCCCTGTGTGCCCTGACAGAGGGTTAGAGGGGCTGCAAGAAGCAGAGAAGCATGAAGGTATGTTCTTCTGCACTCCTGATGTACTGGGAGATATAGAGAGCCAAGTTCCTTGCTTTCTGGGAGAGCAAGTCTGGTTTGGGACAGTATTTGCACCCTCTGCCAAACTGCAACCTGCCAGTCAGGGTAGTGGTAGGAAGTAACAGGAAGTGATGAGCTACAAGAGATCCCTCTCCAGAGCAATGGATCATCAGTACCATTGAGTGTTGACTAGGCAGCTCCTCCTCCTCCTTCACAGGAGGAGGTTGAAGAGTACTCAAAAAAGAGCTTGGAAGAAGAAGCTGAAGGGAAGGTTGTGATGAATCTCACCATAAGTACTGCTATGTGCAGGGATTGCCTCAAGTTTGTGTGTTCTCAGCCCTACTGTCTTGGAAGTCTTGAAGACAATCCCTCTTTCCTTTGGTCACCCCCCTCATCTAGCCATTTTATTCACATCCCATGTGGAGGTCTGTTTTGCCAGTTATTAGGCCTAGCATAAAGGACACAGCCAGCATAAAGATGAACCAGTAACCAAGTTGTATTTGATACACAAGGGTCAGTACATGGGTGAGTGCTGGGGGTACAAACAAGTCAATTAGATTATACATAATTGATACCAATCCCACTGACTCCAATAATGACACCACATGACCAACAATGGGTGGAATAAATGGTGAAATGCAGTCTCCCATAGAAGGGACAGGAGACAACCGAGTCAACAAACCAAATACATAAGACCAAGAAAGCCACATACTGAATCTCTACACAGCCCACGTTTACAAAAGCCAGACCTGACTGGAGCCTAGTTCCAGGGAGGCAGGAGGTCCTTCCCAACAGGGAACTCTACACAGTGCATCCACCTCACAGACAGACACTGCCCCTGCCTGCAAGTGGTCCCAGCTTTTATCCCTCAGTGGGACACCTGACCTTTGCTTACTTAATGTGGGACACCTGGGGCTCATTTACCCAATGGCTCTCCCTGCAAGGCCAGCTGCACCCTGGAGGGAAGCCTAAAGGTAAACTCGCCCCCCTTTGTGAAGGATGGTGGGAATCACTCATGTGTCAACCTTAATTTGGGGCTTGAGGTTGAAACCCCAGCATTTCAAGGTCAGAGTACAGACCTCTGCTCCACTGGTGTCAAGGGCAACTCCCATGAGCAATTATGAAGCCTCGGGTGCATTTAAGTAGCAGTGACGGGAAGCGTGTTGTCAGTGTGGCCCTCTCACTTAATTTTTATACCTGTCAGCTGCCACTGCTGAGTAGCGTCTTGCTCATTTATTCAGTTTTTAAACTCTACGTTTAGACATTAGTGAATGTTGCTTTTGGAGAATCTTTGTTCTGTGGGTTCCCAGTATTAAAAGGAAGACTTTTAAGACCTTTGAAATGTAGGTCTGTGGGAACCTTTCCTGAAGTTGTGCTTTGGTATGTTTCTGTTGGGGGCTGAATTTGTGGACTTTCGCATCTTTGGAAGAGGAAAGTTTTCACAAATGAGAACTGGAAGAGTGTTCCTGGATGGCAAGTAGATTGAATGTGCAGTTCAGCTACAAACTAACACTGCTATGAAGTGTAATTTTTAAAAGGGACACTGGGCTGGATATTGAGGCATGTCTCAAGTGCCACACAAACATAGAAGTAGTGCTTCTTGGTAAAAGAAGGCATGATATTACAGTTCTAGTATGGACTGTGTTACTTTATTTAATGAGGCTTGTTTTGATGCATATGGCTTTTGTAGTTGTATATTTTTAAATTCCTGTGCTGCTGTCCATTTACTAAGAAAAAGGCGTAATTCTTTAGGGTGAGCAATGTTATCTGAGATATACAGGAATAATCAGAATGCTTTTTTCTAAAACAACAGTAGGGGAAATAACACTTCATATTTGGGGAAGAAGTAAAAGGTGAAGGAGCCATAGTCAATATTACAATAGACTATTATTTGATTATGTGTTGAGGAGTATTTTTTTATTTATCCTTGCCTACTCAGTGTAGAGTGTTTGTCAACTTAATCCATTACAAATAATATTTGAAGATACTAAATTTATATCCATCCCATCTGTTGAAACATAATGTACTCATTTTATCTTAGATACAGTAAAAGAACTTATTGTGTCTGCTGGAGATAACATACAAGTGATGCTACCCAAAAATGAGGTTGAACTGAATGCTTTTGTTGTCCCACCCCCGCCTACAGGTGAGTTGAATGGCCTTGGCATACAAGATGATGAACATGCTACCAACCTGTAAATGCAGACAAGTCCTTAGTTATGTGAAAATCCTCACCTCAGGATAAAACCATCTTTCTCATCTACTGCTACCTTTTTTGGGGCTCCAAATGCAGAGAGGATTTCCTCCTTTGGATTTTACAGATAAAATTACTTCTGTTTTCAGAACATGAACTCATTAGCCAGATGGTTCAATAGAAATCCTGTAGTTTCTATCAAAAGATGATGCGGCCCAGGTTATAGCATGTTGCTGTAAAGCATGAGAAGGGAAAGTATGTTCCGTATGAAACAAACCTTAAAACTACCAGCTTCCAAACTGCAGCAGCAAAAAATACATGTTTCGTAGGTAGCTATGTAAAACACATTCACTTCATGTGAAGCTGTTTTTCATCAAGTCAGTTATTTGTGAAGTCTGTTATGTCCTTGCTGCTTTACCAAGTTACAACACATTGTGGAAGTTTAACATGTATTTATACTGCTTCATTTTGGAGGCTTAAATGGTGGCAGTCATGATTTCCTACTGTGGCATTTTGTCTGATGGATGGTGAGCTTGATTTTTTTAAAGTTTCTTGGGCTTATCTTGAAGGCAAAGCTGATTACTCTTATGCTATGTTACTGCTCCTAGAAACAGCCTACACCTATGAGTGGAGCTTAATCAGCCACCCTGATGACTATGGTGGTGAAATGGAGCGCAGGCACAGCCAGACCTTGAAGCTCTCTCATGTAAGTGTGCTGTCAGCTCAGGCTCATTGTGTTTGTGTGGTCCTTTCATAGGAATCTAACCTGTGGGGAAGGGCACCTTGATCCAAGGAGTTTGACTGACTGCCAGAGTCTCTTCACATGCATGTGTTGCCAAATCTATACCAGATTGTATCTTTTTAAGAGTGCTCTAATAATTTTCTAAGAGTAAAAATTCTTAAGTGTTTGCTTTGTGCTCCCCACTTCTGGACAGCAACTAGTGGCCGTTTGTGTATGTGTTTATAAAAGGAGCTCTAGGTTTCAGATACCCAGATTTTTCTCTGTTTACAATGATTAGCATATTTTTGCATACTGCTTTTGTATAATTCAACATGTAACTGGATTTGTTCTATTTGTCTCAGTTATCAGTGGGACTTTATGCCTTCAAAGTGATGGTTTCTGGTGAAAATGCCTTTGGTGAAGGTTTTGTAAATGTCACAGTCAAACCAGGTAAGTTGGCTAAAAGATTGAAATTAATTTCTTCAACACAAGTCGTTGTACAACATGCTTATCTAATAGTCTGTCAATTACTGTCTGTCAAGGACACCTGGTAATACAGTCATGCAGAGATGTTTCATGTCTTGGTGTCTATAAAGCATTTTGGGGAAGTAGAGTTAAGGATCTTGCTCACTGTATTTAAGTGCTCTCTGGTCTTGTACCCTCCTCAGGCAAGGCTTGAGACAGCATCATGCCACCCTTTGTGGTCCCTGTCTTCTGTACAGCTAGGAGCAGCAATCAGGTGTTGAACTGTCTGTAACTGCAAATTACAGCTCACAGGTCTGATGCAAAGCAGTCAATCCTGGATTTAAATCACTGAGGACTATTGATCTGTGGACTTAACAGATTCATTTTGCCTGGGCTTTTATCTACTTCTGTTTTTTTTCTTTTCCTCCATCTTTCTCACAGCAATCAGAGTTAACCAGCCGCCTGTTGCTGTTGCTTCACCCAAAGTACAAGAAGTTTCTTTGCCTACAACTTCTACCTTCATTGATGGCAGTCGTATGTACTGGACCATCCTGTGCTTATATCCTGTACTTTTAATACCCAGTTACAACATTATGGTTTGTCAGTTACAAATGAAATTCCCCCTTCTCGCTCTACTCATAAGTTCCCCGATTCATGATATATTTCAGGCATTTGAGTCCAGTTATAAATTATTTAACTAAATTTAAAAAGTGATAAAGTGCAGCCTTCCACTTGGGGATTGAGATGCAGTGTGTTGGAGACTGGTGCGTCCAAACAGCAGATATTCTTATAGCTGCTTCTTCTCTTCCTGCCCAAAAGGCTCCGTGCCAGTACAGCTGGGGTCATGGTAGAGAGCTGTCATATAGGTATTATGATTATAATTCATAATTACTGAGAACAGACATGTTGGAATGTGCAGAATTTGAGACTAATTTTTATTTGTGTGTGTGCATGAAGAATTTTTTGTTTGTTTAGATAAACCATACCAAATATAACTTGGAATCTGTGGTTTAACGGCTATGGTACATGAACCCTATTCAAATATGCTTGAAAAGATAATTGTAGAAAACCAGTTAGGGATCAGTGCATGAAAGACTTTCGTAATCATTCCAGCAATTGCTACAAGAAACTGATATGTTTTTCTTTAATTAATATAGAAAGTATGGATGATGTAAAGATAGTAAGTTACCACTGGGAGGAAATTAAAGGTCCTTTGCGGGAGCAGAAGGCATCTGCTGACACACCTGTCTTGCACTTGGCTAACCTTGTTCCTGGAAACTACACTTTCAGGTACTTGCACAGATGCTTTCCTTTTGGGTTTTAATTATTTCCCTGTTGTCAGCTATTTGTTTCTCTTTGTGCTCACATGTACTTCTTCAAACAAAAAACTTCCTTTTTCTTCTGCATGCTCTTACTCTTCATTTTACACAGTAAAGAGCCATAGGGAGCAGTTTTATTAAAAAGTGCTTGCGGTGATTTCGTGATACTGATGTAGTGATCCTTTACAGCACAAAGTTATGCAAAACAAGGTATTGGAAATTAAATACTTCCCACTCCCAGCAATAATAACTGTGACAAAACACGATTTTTTTTTCCAGCTTAGAAGCTGGCAAGTGTCCTGGGATGAAGCTCTGCAGTCCGGCTGTGAAAGTCATCCCCTGAAGGGTGGTGGCAGCCAGAACAGTATTGGGAGACTGATCCTCACAAGGCATTGTTGTGTACTGATTTTAATGAGAGTCATTCTGTTCTTCATAAAAGCCTTTACATTGCTACTCTTTTCTTCCATTCATGCCTTGCTGAAGCTGAATTTTGTCCAGACAATAGAAGTAATGTTTGTGGTTCTGGGTGCTTTAATTAAAGTCAGAGTTCATTTTCTGAACTGCTTAACTTAAACCCTAGTCTGCACAGAGACTTCCCACTGACCCAGACTGGGTTTTTTGGCTGCCGATGGGTAACAGCCTAGCAGTCAATATATTATGTATCAGTGTAGCATCAGCAGAACGTTGAAGCCAGTGTACATATATGTTAAACGTAGTACATTGCATAAGCTTCACCAAAAATTACATAGTTTCAACTTTCACTTTGTGTTCTGGATTGGAATTGTTCCATATTGTACAGTGGCAGAAATGAGCATAGGATTTTTTTCTGTATTAAAAAGGGCAAAGCTTGCTTATAAGCAGTGCTCTGAATGCATTCCCAACCCTAGGGAATTAAGAAATCATTTGTTATATCTCTGCACCTTTGAGAGAGGCTGAGGTACTTGAAGAACAGAGCAGTGTGTTCAAGTTTACAGGGAATTAGCTGGTCAACAAAATCCAGTGCTCCTGATACACATGGATGCGCACCCACTGCAAAAATGTGTTCCCTAATGACAGAATTAATGAGCGCTAGTTTTGCTCGCGCTCAGGGAAGGCTTCAAGAGTGATTCCCTTCCATGTGGTCAGCTGTATGCAGTTTTCACAACAGAGGTGAATTAGAGATGTAGTCGGTTACTGCACTGCAGAGTGGCCTTTCACCACTTTTAGGTGTCTGCGGCAGTCTTATTTTAAGAGGGTTGTTATGTTTCTGAGAGGCAATAGTAGTGGTTTTAAACCCTGTCATTTTTTACTTCTGTGACTTGACATCTTTGAAAAATCTGGGTTGATACTAAGCTCCATTAAAATTAGTAATAGTGTGCCACAAAGAAATTAGAAGTTAGGAATTGCTACTGTGCTATAAGCAGCACTTCTGAACATCCAGAGCAGATTTGGAATTGGTTGTTAACAAGGACTGTTCCACTATGGCTGGTGAATGAAATACCTGTGTTTTATTGAATAAATTTTTTAGAGAATTTGCAGTGAAATCTGTTTGAAGTTGCTGTTGACTTCAGGGAAGGGGTTTCATCTGGGATTTGGAGTAGCTGGGCTTTTGCGCTTTTTTTTTTTTTTTTTTTTTTTTTCTTAGAGGTTGAAAGCTGTGTTTGAAAACAGTCTTCTGAATTTCTTTCCTACCTGGGTTGTGATATGTGTTTCTGAAGCAGAAGTTCATAGAATCTAATCAGTGGCTCTGTTTTAGATGGTGTTCAGAAAAGTGCCAGAAAAAGTTAACCTTTGAACTTAGAACTCTGCAGAGTCCATCTTAACAGATTACCAGTATTGTTTTTCTTGTTGTAGGCTCACCGTGATTGATTCAGATGGGGCTGCCAATTCCACCATTGCATCTCTGACTGTCAACAAACCAGTGGATTACCCACCTATTGCCAATGCAGGACCTAATCAGGCAGTCACCTTGCCCCAGAACTTCATCACACTGAATGGAAACCAGAGCAGCGATGACCATGAAATAGTCAGCTATGAGTGGTCGCTCAGTCCCAAAAGCAAAGGCAAGGTTGTAGCAATGCAGGTATGTCTATTCCTCCTTGCATGAGATTGGAACACTCTCCTATCTTTGCCTCTAACACATACCAAAGTAACTACTCAGAGCACTGAAATGTCTGGAGTGCTGTTACTTTTTTTGCTTGGTGTTTTTTCTTTTTTTCTCTGTTCCTCTCCAATCTGTTCAGCTCTTATATTAGATACTGCTTTTAATTCCTTCTCATAATTTTTTTCATTCCTTGTTGCCATTTCTTTTTCCTGCTGTTTGTTCCCTGATGGTTTGGAAGACTTTGAGTTCACAGTGTCTGTCCTTGGACCCTAAAGTCTGCTCCACAGTTTTCCACCTTCTGAGACTCTGGACATGCTGAAAACTGGTTTGGAGAGAATGTGGGAGTAGTCAGAGTTTTCTTGTAATGCTTTATCCTGAAGAAAGTAGGACTCAAAGAGAAAATTTTCTGAGTAAAACAGGACAAGACTTTTGGTAGTGTTATGCAGCCATGCTCTGTGGTGAAGTTTTTACACTCATTAAAACATGGGTTTCCCATGAAGGCTAAAGGAATTTATTCTCTTATTTTTGTGGCTGTATTTTTTTTTTTAAATCTGAGAAAAGTTAATAAAAATTTTTAGTAGACTTGTGCTCAGTAAGTTGAAGATTCTTGTAGCTCTGTAGGCAGTTGAGGTAATTAGTGTAATGAAGCCAGCTGAAACTCAGAAGCCATTTTTTTATAAGAGACATGATTTCTGCTATGTTGCAAATGCTTTAGACCTTCGGGACTGGAGAGAGATCACTTTGTAGATCTGTTTAGGAAAGGATTATGTTGTTGCAAGCATATACTGTAGAGGCAATTACGAAACTGTGGAAGGGCTTATTTCTGTTCATTTACCAAGACAAACATTTTCCAAAAGCATCCAGACAACCTGAACTTGTAGTTTTTAAGAGCTACTCAATCTTACAGCAACCTTCCTGAAAGAAGGGAATGAGTGCTTTGAGATATCTGTTTTGGGTATTTAATGTGAAAATGCAAGAGGATTTTTACAGTTTCTTTTCAAGAGCCTGGTAATCTTTTCTATGTCCCTAAAGCTGAGGATGCTCATCTCAGGTGCATTAGATGGTATCAATAGTTAGAGTGCAATGTAATAAGGATGTCTGCTCACTAGTTAATCATTTATCAAGTCCCTTAGTTCGCGTTATCATCTTTGTCAAAAAGACCCCAAACAACCTAATTGCATTGTGATTTGTTATTCCTCATATGAGAGATGACACAAATGTTCTTTTTATTAGCAAAAGGACCTATAGCTGGGCCTAATCATTTTATGACCTTATTAACTAATACTGCTGAAATAGTATACTCAGGACAGTTGTCTTGTTTAATGTGGTTTTTTCGATAAGACGATCTGTCTGGGATCAAGTCAAACTTGGTTTTGTGTTAAACAATTTTTATAAATAATAATGTAATGATATTTGTTTTTAAAATGTCTCTAAGGAAGTGGAATAAGCTGTAGTAATTTCCATCAGTGTTTAATTTCCTAATTGAGGAGGTTAATGTCCTATGTGTTTAACAATTGTTGTTCAGAAATAATGCAGAAATTATACCAACAATAGAAGTTAAGACTTGTCTATAGATAATGCTCTGGGTTGGTAGGGACAGTTGCAATAATGAGTAAGTTACATCCATTTGCACATCAAATTTTAAGTCTTCTCCCTGTCTACAAGGTGCTTAAATTGCTTTCTCAAACACTGTATTTATGAATTAAAGCAAATTTTATTTTCTCTCCATGTTTGCTCTGTAAGACCTTTCATAATCTATAGACCTTTCTCTTTTATCTCGTTCTCGCTGTCTTCATAAATACCATGCAGGGAGTGCGGACACCGTACCTCCAGTTATCTGCAATGCAGGAAGGAGATTATACATTTCAGCTGACTGTCACAGACTCTGCGAGGCAGCGGTCCACAGCTGAGGTCACACTCATTGTACAGCCTGGTAAGTCAGCTGCAGACACGTCTGGGTCCCTCAGGGCTTGGGCCAGCTTTATGCCTTAGCACTGTCCTCATATGCCTCATCTCCCTGCACTGCACCACTGAGATGGCAGTCTGAATGTCCAGTATCCCTGCATCAAGGACTCTTCTACCTCCATTTTCTGATGAAGCAAATAGTTAAAGCAAGTGTAGAACTATAGAAAGTCCAGGTGGTGATCCTGAGGGCTCATGCCGGCCTGATTACATAAGGCAACCTGCACAGAGATATGTTTGAGTGTAGCCCTTGAGTTTAATAAATGTAGCCCTTGAGTTTAATATCTACAAAGTCTGTTTTGCAAAGCTATTCAGAGTATCAATCAGTGCTCTGTTCAGTTTTCTTACTGTTTTGCAGTTCTCCTTCAGGTATCCTTGTGTGATCTGAATTCTCACTAGAATTGCATTGCATTTTCTAGGGAAAAGTGTCAAGCAAGGAATTTTCAAAAGCTGCATCTTTCACATGTTTATTTAGATTTGGGAGCTGAGTAATGAATGGGTCCAAATGGTCCAGGCCTTGTGAGATTTTGGTTTTTAATGCCTTTTTAATTTTTGTTATGTGTTTGCCTCTTGCATCCGAAGTGGCCTTTTCTGCCCATCTGAAAGTCTCACATTCCACCCTGCGCAACATTTTATTCATTTTATTTTCCTGTTGTTGCTTATTGCACATCTTATTGTAGATGACCCCTTCTGGGAATACTTCACAACTGACTTTTACTGCAGAAATCAAGAATGTGAATGGGAAGTACAGCATGTGTTGGTGCCTTTTAAAGCTGTTACAGTGTGGAGCTAGGAAGATGCTATTGCTGAAGTCAGGTCTAAGGGTAAATAAATATCCAGGAAAATGGTAGGATAGCCAGCTTTACCGTGCCACAAAAGCAGAGGGTGAAAACAGAATAATAGGTGATACTCTTCTGCATGAAATCTTCAAAGACTCTCAGCTGGCATAAATTTAATGGCATCATGCTGACCTTGAGCAACAGAAAACCTGGACCAGTATAATCTTTGAGGGCAAAGAACCATATTCATGTGGGTGGTTTTGAAAGGGATGCAGTGGTGGAACCAGGAGACTGCCCCACTGTTTTTGTTGTAAAACATTTCATGCAATGTGTTGAGCATGCTGCAAAATTTTTGGAGCGTGACTGTGCCTTCAGATATGACTGAAAAAGGAAAGAACTTGATGTGAGATTTGACTTGTTGCAGAGCTGGTCTCTCCCACCTAGTATTTTCTGCTAGTTTGTGCATGTTATACTTGTGGTTTGTACCTCTGAGCCAATATTGCAAATTTGTAATATAATATTCTGTGTGAAATCTTCCTCTGGCAATCCTTCACAGTGACTACTTCACAAAAGTCATATGCTAAATACTACTTTTACAGAAAATAACAGCCCTCCAGTAGCAGTGGCTGGTCCTGACAAGGAATTGACCTTCCCCGTAGAAAGTACTACACTAGATGGAAGCAAAAGCCAAGATGACCAAGGCATTGTCTTCTATCATTGGGAAAATATCAGGTATCTACTAGACATTTTACTAATCTCCAGAAGAACAGAGAACAAAGTGAAAGTGTTTGGGTGCCAGAGTCTCTTTATGCAGCTGTGCTGGGTGATGCAGTGTTTGAGAACTGCTTTGAGGATCTTCCCGCTCAGTTGGTAATAGGATAAGAGACAGGAATTTTAAGTTCAACTTGGAAACCTTAGGCAATCTCTGCCTATGTTTTGCAATGTGTCATTTTGCGGCCTACTATTAGAAAGTTAAGAAAAAATGACAGGAACTTCCATGTGTCCTGTTAAAAAGTGAGTAACAGGCTTGGGTACCCTATTGTAATGGGCAAAGTTTTCCCATCAGTGCTTAGAACTAGGGTTTCTCAGCCACTTAATCAGTTTGGTCTGAGCTTTCAGTAGTGGGTGACTAAAGCATTCTGGAATGATAATTGAAAAGGTTTTACAAAAGTCTGTAATTTTATGTTTACGTGAAAACCTAACTGACCCTTAATAAAAGGTCACGGTATTACCTCAGGCAACTGTTATATCTATGGAACAAGAATAGGTTTGGCACCCTGTGCATGTTGTGAGTGGCTCTTAGAGCAACAGTGTTTTCTTGCTCCCATCATAGTACATAGCAAGGAAGTTGAACTTCCAGGGCAAATTCTCGTCTAATCACTGAGTATGTGATGCTTGGATGCTTCGAAGGTCTTCAAAAAACTGATTGATTTATGAATTGTCTGAACTGAACTCACATCTTATAGTTCTTTAACCATCAGTGCTTATAGCAGTGGTAGAACTGTGATATACATAAAAGCAAATGGCGTGAGCAATGCTGCTGAAAGAATAATTTGGCTGGCTGTGCAGGGTTATTTTTCTGAGATGTTTTGTTTCAGTGGACCAAGCTCTGTACAGATGGAAAATGGTGACAAAGCAATAGCAACTGTGACTGGTCTTCAGGTTGGTACCTATCGCTTCAGGCTGACCGTGAAAGACCAACAGGGCTTAAGCAGTGCGTCTGTGCTGTCTATTACTGTGAAGGAAGGTAAGTCTATTGCTGCTTCTTAGGATATGGTAGGCAACTTGCTAGTTACCTCAATCACTAACAAAATGTAAAGGAAATCGAAACAGAAAGGGATAATGTGTGTGCTTGTCATGTTTCAAGGGTGTTCAACAAGAATTACTGCTGTTCTGTAATAAAGTAGTATTGTGAGTGACTGGTAGAATTACCTTTGCTTACTGCAAGCTTTTTAAAATTAAGTATATGCAGAATTAGTTGTAAAAACAAACAAGCAAAAAAAACACACACAAAAAAAAACCCCAACCTCCAAAATACTGTTTTTGACCATAGTGTGTCTAGTTCATTAAGAGGATATGTTTTTATTTTATTCTCAAACTTAAGCTTTGAGCAGTAAAGCAGTTTTACTGCCAGTCTTAAGTAACATCCAAGAAGTAACGTGTCAGATTATACCAATCTCCACTTAAAAACAACAGTAAGAGATCTGTATTCATTTTTGGGGTTTGATCCAGAGAAACATCTACTGTGGTGGTTTTTAAATTATTTCTTTTTTCCCAACACATGCGCTGTAGGAGAGGCTTTAGGATGATAATACCTACTGTGTGAGATCATAAAATCATAGAATCATTTAGGTTGGAGAAGACCTTTAGAATCAAGTCCAGCCATTAACCCAACACTGCCAAGTCCACGACTAAACCATGTATCTGACATCTACATGCCTTTTAAATACCTCCAGGGATGGTGACTCAGCCACTTTTCTGGGCAGCCTTCCAATGCTTGACAACCCTTTTAGTGAAGAAATGTTTCCTATTATCCAATCCAAGCTGCCTGTCGTGCAACTTGAGGCCATTTCCTCCTGTACACTTTTTACTTGGGGAAGAGAGACTGACACCCACCTCAATACAGCCTCCTTACAGGTAGTTGTAGAGAGCGATAACGTCTCCCCTGAGATGCCTGTTCTCCAAGCTAAACAACTCCAGTTCCCTTAGCGACTCGCAAGTCATGAGATTTCTGCTCTAGACCTTTCATCAGCTTTGTTCCTCTTCCGGCAGAAGTACTGTCAGGTAGTCCTGACAGATTCCATAGCTTTGACTTACGTTGCATTCTCAAGTTTGCAGGTGCTGATAATCCAACCATCTTTTGCTTCATGTTGTTCCTTAGGGAGTGATTTTAGCAATCTTCATAAGGCTATGCCTCCTTTTAAAGAAGGTGTCGTAATATATTTCATATCTTTTTTGGTCTGGAGTTTGGCTTTCTGTTGCATACTTTGTGTTTTGAGGGAGGTGATGCACTCTGGCTCTGCAGGTATGGTACCCATACCATTTATTAAATGATACTAGAATTGCATTAGAATCTTAGCTGCTGACTTTCTTGAAAACAGTGCAGCCTTGTTTCTTTTTCACTTGGTATCAGTGCAGAATGAATGAATCTTGGAGAAGCTGGATGCAGTTTTACCCATGTGCATCATTGGTTGAACTGCTTCAGAGTTTCAGTTATGTATTCAGTCAGAAACACGTGTCAGTAGCTCTGCCCAGATGTGTCTCATGGTCTCAACCATGATGTGAAGTGTAGCCACAGTATGTACTAATGACAGTCACAGGTTCAATATGAAAGATATTCAGTACTTCAACAGCCAAGTTTAATCAGCTGGTTTACTTGGAAGAGACAAGATGGTCACTTGTATCACAGAAAACTCAGACCAGCAAAGTATTTCACTCAGCCTCACAGCTTCCTGGAGCTCTGTCTTATCAGTTGTGTTCTAAACAAGTCATTGATGTCTGGTTTCTGGAAAGAGGACATGTTCATGGTTCTTTAGTGGGTTTTGATTGTACTCAAAATGCATGCCTTAATTTCACTGCTAGCAGTAAGCAAAAAGCATTTGGGAACTAGGTTTACTCTTTCTGATTACACTTTGCCTAAAGGCAGGCATTGTAAAGATATAAAATTCTAAGTAAGTTTCTATGAGATAGTAAGTGATTCTCAAGATGAGAAGAGCTTGACATGGTGATCTCATTGTGGGCTGTGTTTGAGTAGCCAGAAGATCTTTTTGCTTGACTGAGATGATCTGATGCTATAGTTACTGTGAGACTGTGAGTGCCCCACAATGCTTTTTGAAAAATATCTTTTTAGATAGTACTTCTTATTGGGATTGTCCTCATGGTGCAGCTCTGCTTTTGTCAGACTGTAATAATTCTGGAGCCAAGTTTTGTCTACCCACTCATCTTTTCCCTGTATCTTAGACACCTGATTCTGTTGTTACTACCTCTAACCATCAGGTGAAAAATTGCAGTGTGGGTGTATTGGCAGTGGCATGTAACATTTCACATGTTTTGAAAGCAAATCCTTCTCCTCCACTGTTTTTATGGCTAGAAAACAACAGTCCACCCCGAGCACATGCTGGTGGGAAGCATGTTCTAGTGCTTCCAAATAACTCTATTACCTTGGATGGCTCAAGGTCTGCTGATGACCAGGGGATTGTGTCGTATTTGTGGATTCGGGATGGTCAAAGCCCAGCAGCTGGGGTAAGTTTCTTGAAGGTTGTAACGCATCAAATTCAGCTCTTCTTATGCATGTAGTTTTACTGCAGCAGAGCAAGGAGGTATGAGGCATGGTGTCTGTTTCTGGTTTGTCTCCCCTGCTCTCTCTAATGCTTTAGTTCAAGTGGCTTGTGATACTTTCAGTACAGCTACAGAATACAGTAGTATCATGGTTTAACTCTAGCCAGCAACTAAGCACCACACAGCTGCTCACTTCTCCCCCTCAGTGTGATGGGCAAGAAAATTGGGGGGAGAAAAAGTAGTAAAACTCATGGATTGAGATAAGAACAGTTTAATAACTAAAAAAAAAATATAATGAAAATATTAAAAAGGGGTAGAGAAATAAAACCCAAGAAAGGACAAGTGATATACAGAGGAATTGCTTGCTACCTGCTGACTGATGCCTGAGCAATGATCTGCCTCCTAGGCAACTACTCTTTTTATATCCTGAGCATGACATTCTATGGTTTGGAATATCCCTTTGGCTAGTTGGGGTCAGCTGTCCTGGCAGTGCTTCTTCCCAGCTTCTTGCACACCTCCTTGCTGGCAGAGCATGGGAAACTGAAAAACCCTTAGGATAAGCACTGCTTAACAACAATTAAAACATTAGTGTTATCAACATTATTCTCACACTAAATACAAAATATTGCATTGTACCAGCTACTGGGAAGAAAATTAACTTTATCCCAGCCAAAACCAGGGCAGGTAGCTAAGAGGACTGCAGCAGTGTGGACTTAGTTGGGAAAGGCTCAAGACAGAAGAACAGAGTTGTATTTCTTAAAGAGTAATTGGTGATAGTACCAAGCTAATATGTTTGAGAGAAGAATAGTCTGAAATCCAGACACTGCAAAGGAAGAAGGATCTGAGAGAGCAAGAAGTACCAATAAAGACTAAGGAATCACGTCTGGTACCAGATGACACAAAACTTATGGTTTAAGATGAAAATGGTGTTTGGTGTTAGATATGTAGATACCTTGCCTGGCAGACCATGGTGAATAGCCTGGGTCATTAGGGCAGTGGAGTCTGCTCTCCCAACTGGAGGCAGACAGCAGAGGTACCTCATGATAAACTGAAGTTTATATGTCAGCTACTGAAACTGTGATAACTTCTTTTGTCTATCTGCACAAAGTGTTGTGGACAGCTCTTCACAGACAGGAAGTTAGTGGCAAATCACCAAGGTCTGGGAGAGGAGAAACAGTAAAATGATAACAAAGCTTCTAGAAGCAGTTCACATGAGGATATGAGAAGAATTGAAGAGGTGTAGCTTAAATGTAACTGGCAGAGATGTTAGTTGGAAATACATGAACTCCCATGAAAGGAAATAATTTGGGAGTTAAGAAAGCAGAACTAAGAATACTGGAGTAAAATTGAGAAATAATGTAACTTGTGTCAGATTTTCAAGCAGATGAGTACATGAGAATGTCAGCTGTTCTGTCGATTATTTTTTTTTTTTTTTAAATGAAAATATCCATGTTCAGATATGCCACTTCCAAATTTGCATTGCTCTGCTACAGCAAAGAGTGGGTAGGTCACCCTTGTCCAAAAGCTAAAAGCAAGAATTTCCGCTGTTACGCAGATCCTGACTTGATAGTTACACCTGCAACTTTCTCTGAGGGTATAATCATCCTGGTACCATTTTTTTTTTCCAGGATGTGATCCACGGCTCAGACCATGAGGCAGTACTGCAGCTAACTAATCTGGTGGAAGGAACCTATACTTTTCACTTGAAAGTGACGGATGCTAAAGGAGACTCAGATATTGATTCAGCAACTGTTGAAGTGCGGCCTGGTATGACAATTAAAAGGTCATCGATACGTTGTGAATACCTCATCTTTGTTCTCCTTTTCACTTATTTATTTCAATGTTGACAACATTCAAGTTAAAACACAAAGCAAAGAGGTCTTTCTCTTCCTACCTTCTTAATGTTCTCTCAGTAGGCCTAAGTGTATTAGAACACGTCAGGATTCTTAACTACCTATTACACCATTGCCTTACTGGAAGCATAAATAGATAAAAATCATTCTTTCTCCTGTATATTTTCATTAGGTTTTTGTTGCTTTTCATTCACTGTAGGTTTGTTGTTTTTTGGCCAATGGAAAGAGATGAGAGCTGAGCATTAATTTTAGGTACAAATGCTGCAATTGTGTGTCTGATGGTTGAAAGTGGATTTTTATACTTGTTTTCTTTCATCCTGAAGGACAAAAACAAACCTCAAAGAATTTCGGGTGTTTTAAATTGTCTTTTCATGGTTTGATATTGCTTGTATATAGACTTGTTTTCATATGCTGGATAAAGTGGCTGTGTGGTGCTCAGTTGCCCTCTGAGCTCAAACCACAATAGTGATGGAAGCATAAATTGAGGTTTCAGGAAACGAGTCTGAAATCTTAGGTCTGTTGGAGACTTATTGTTTGACTGGTTCGTAGGCAATGATTTTATTTCTGTTCCTCACTTTTATTGTTGAATGTAGTCACAATAATTGCCTCAGGGTTCTCATTGGATATCTGTGAAGCTTGTTTTGTTTGCAAGGCACTCTAGAAGTTCAAGTATTATTTAACAGAACCCTCAGTTTGTGAAGGTAAACATATTTGCTATTTCTCAGATTGACCATCCTCATTTACACTCACTCACAGTTTTGCATGCTACTATATGAGTCCATCTTTGCCTCCCTTTTCCCGGATGATAGACAGTAGTAGATAACTAGCAGGGAACTTAAGAATGAGACTCACCTAATGCTTACATCTGACCTTAAGATGGCAGCATTTAGGGGAACAGAAGTTACTGTTCTGCACAGAAATGTGTTAATGCTGAACTGAAGTACACAATGAAGTGCTTTCTTTCAACTGGTAAGCTAGGTTGCTGTCTTAGGACCCATCACCAGGTTTGTTTCAGAGAGAATATGAAAACGTAGGCTAAGTACTTTTATAAGAAGACAAAAGGGTTTGATTATAAGGAATATGGGTCTTACACAGGAAAATACAGTATTAATAAATACTTTTGAGTACTGCATGTTGTCTTCAGTTGGTACTGAAATTTATTTGCAAGGCTCTGAAAGAATAGCATGTACTTCTGTCAGATCCCAAAAGGAGTGGTCTGGTGGAGCTGATTTTGCAAGTTGGAGTGGGACAGCTGAGTGAACAGCAGAAGGACACCCTGGTGAGACAGCTGGCTGTACTGCTGAATGTTTTGGATACAGATATCAAAGTTCAGAAGATACAAGCCTACTCAGATATCAGGTACAAAGATAGCATGCTGTGCCAGGAAGATTTGTGTTTTTTATTGACTCTAACACAGCTTATAATTAGTTGAAAAATAATATTTTCTAAGATGACAAAAAAATGCTATAGCTTTCAACAGTATATACTTCAGAAGGTAAATTTCTTCTGATATGGTAGAAAATTGGTGAATCTAGCTCTCTAGAGACTTGGAACTGAAGGGGTTTGTGTTTTTTTTTTTAAAAAGAAATTCTCTGTGTAGATTTTTATTTATTGATTTAAAGAAAGTGTAGGCATATATTTCAGTGTCTTTGTTCCATACAGTGGTGCTATTTTTCCCAAGTGTTGGATGGAGAGAGACAGACTTTCTCACAGTGAAGCATGTACTGTATTTCAAAATAAGGTTCCAGCTGTGTCTTCTGATCAAACCTGTTTTATTCCCCTTTTCTTCTACTTCCTCTCTAAGGTTTTGATATTCTAAGTATTTTTATAAATATTTTCCCAGGTAACCAGTGATGAAAAATCTTTTATTTGCAGAGAAAACTACACAGTTGGTACTCCCAAGTGTGGCATCTTACTCTGAAGAGTAAGGGGGTATTTCTACCCCCTCTACTTGGTGTAGAGGGATAGAGATGGTTTTGCATACCCAGAGAAACTTCTCAGTTAGAGATATGAGTTATCTTTAAATTACTTCTTGTTAACTACTTGGTAATTAAAAAAAAAAAAATAAATTGGAAAATCTAGCATTATAGCTATGATATTTTTAATCACAGCTTCCAATTACTACTTTTCAGATAAAGATGTTCCCTGAAGTGTCTGATACAGGATGAGATCACCACCTAACTTAAAAAGGGCTGGGGAGGGAAGGGGAGAAGGGCTTCCACATAAAGTTCTCTGATTCCCTTGCTTCTGAGCTTTTCCTCCTCTTAAATTCAGTTTCTTAGTTACTCAGACTGCTTGAGTGCTTTGTGACAGGTTCTAGGTGGGAGTAGAAAAAGCAAATTATACATAATTCTCTTAAAGTGAGATTAAGGAAGATCAAGGTGGGAATTACATTTTTCTATTGTCTTCCTCTTTCTTCTGTGAAACTGAGACACCAGAGAATTGCTGGTGCTCCCGGCTATGAATGAAGTCCAAGGCATTTGCATGGAGTTGACTGATGCAGGGACAGAGTTCCCTAATCATTATCAGTGGTGACATTTGTTTTCCAGAAACAAACAAAACCAAAGGCTGTAAACTGAACACCCGACAAAAGTGATCTTTGACAGCAGTCATGACCTTACCTGTTCTTTCTGCAGCACTGCGGTTGTGTTCTATGTGCAGAATGGGCATCCTTCCAAGGTGATTAAGGCATCAGATGTCTCACGAACTCTGCATGTGCAGCTTTTGAAAGAGAAGGCTGACTTTCTGCTTTTTAAAGTCCTGCGGGTTGACACAGCTGGTATGTTTTGGTTTGTGCTTGCTTGCTCATCTTGGAACTTTGCAGGCCTGTGGTTAATACAGCACCTGGAAACAGGCATGAAGGCCTTCTGTCTGCCATCTGGTGTCTGGACTTGGATGTAGCTTTCCAAAACATGATGCTGAAGACAGTACTTAAAATGCTTGTTCATTTGAGGTGGACTGGTGCCAGTTACTTATGTTCTTTTAAAAGATTTCGGTAACAGCAGGCAAAAACATATCTTAATCTGGTCTGCATCAGGAAGGCCTGGGGAATGAGGATAAAGATACCCCACTCATACCATCTTTTGTTGGAAGATGGGCGAAATTTAATACAGCCATAAAATAGAATGTTTCATGTGTCTGGTTCCTTCAAGGCTTTTAGTGTTCAGTAATAGGCTTGTAATGTAACTTGATTTTGTCTGTCTGTATCGGGCAAAATCAGGTGATTGCTGTATTATAACCTAGTCTACTCATATTTGCAATGTAGGGAGGTTGCTGGGGTTTCTTATAATGAACTTCTTTTCCATCAAAACATGCTTGAACTTCAAAGCCGATTTTAAACTTCACTAGTAACATGAATCCTTTATGATACTCGGATACTACAGATATGACTTCTCCATAATTTAAAATCAGGATATAATGATCCAAATGGAAACAGAGCGAACAAGCTCTAGCAATAAAATAGTGTTTGATTCTGTAGTGAATTCTGTCTTTACCTGTTGAAAAGAACTGTTCTGTTTTAAATGTACTTGGATTACCAAAATGTGTAGGTGTCACTTGAAACTATGCATTAACATGTTTCTTAACAAAGAAATCTAGTACTCTGTTTAAGGGTGTTAACTTTTTATTTTGGTTTGATATGATGTGTTGATCTAGCAGTACTACTACTATAAACTTGTGAGGTATGTAAACATATTGACCCCAGGTACTGTAATTCAGTTTTGAAATACTGAAATACACTCTAGTTTATTGACAAGCTGCTTGTCTTCTAGAACCTGAGAATGTTGATATTCCTCAGTTCTCAGGTCCTTTGGAAGTTCTTACAAATATGTCATAAAGGGGCAGGTCTGAGTTCTACAACTTCAACTCATCTTTATTTCTGGTTAGAATAAACTGTTCTTGACTTGCATACAATTTCAATATTGTATGCATAAGGTATATTCTTATCTTTCTCTTCACAGCCAGCAGTCTGCTGAACTGTAAATCCACTTAACACATAACAGGAGGGGAGGGAAGGAAAGGGAGACTTAAAAATACTAGAATGTTATGAACTAGGTGCTTTACTACCAGTCTAGCCTCACAGTAAGAGGATGTGTGACAAGTTGTCCATTTACACAACTGATTCTGCTTGGTTTTGTTCTTAGCCTGTCTTTTAAAATGTTCTGGACATGGACACTGTGACCCTATAACGAAGCGCTGCATTTGCTACCAGCTCTGGATGGAAAACTTGATTCACAGTTACCTAAATGATGGAGAGAGTAATTGTGGTGAGTTTGGGTATTGTGGGATGTGTTTCAAAAGTCACTCATCTTGTGAGACTGATTATTTGCTGTCAGAATGGGGAGTACTTAGGAAGTAGATGCTGAGGGAAGACTAGAACAGTTTTCCAGCCCAGCAGTGTCTTTCTATAGAAAAAATTTTGAATAACATCTTGAAATTATAATGTCTTGACAGTAGTAGCCTATATTTAAAATATCTTAAAAGTTTAAATTTTAAGAAGTACCACTATTTGAAGAAAAAAACATGAAAACTTTGTCATGGAAGAGAGGTCTTGCAACAGTTTTGGGCCAGTTGCAATGGTTGTTGAATATTGTGGACATTGCAAAGCTTTTGAGGAGTACTCAGCCGATTGTTGCAAAGCTGCAAAACGGGCAACATCTTTGATTCTCTGAGTGGGTAGTTGATACTTCTGTGCCAGAAATATGATCTGACCTAAGGAAAGAAAACACCAGTGGTCTGGACTAACCAATATAGGCACCTTTAAAACCTCAGCTTTTTAGCATGATTAATTTCACTGTTCCTTTCAGCTCTCCTGTTGTACCTGGGAAATGCAGTTTAGTTTCTTCAGCTTAACAATGTCTGTATTCTGTGGCACACATAACATATCTGCTAAGCCTCTCTATCTCAACTATTTAATAGTTTTAATTTAACTTAATTGGTTTTCTACTTAAGTTGAAATAAAGCTCAACTCTTAATACTATGAAGGCTTAGAGGTATTTTCTGAGAAACGCACTAGTCTTCAAGTAAATTAATAGAAATTTATAAGGAGCTTGCTACAAGCCATTAAGTATCCATGGGCTGTGTGTGTGTGTCTAAGTGAAGACTAATTGACCAACCAGAATGGGACACCAGGTTTTAAGCCTGAGGCTGGGACCTTCACAGCCCTTCCCTAATGCTGTGTTGTTCCATAGTGTAATAATAACTCTGAAATAGTGAGTATGTGTGTGTTGGAGTTCATATTATTGCACATCTCTCTGTATCCTCATGTTTTCCTGGATTTACAAATGTAAGCATGCAACTAGAAGGATCTGTCTGTAATCAGCTGTTTTTAAAAAAAGTACTACTAAAATGCCAGATCCAGAGTTACACCTGTGTTTATTTTGGTTAGAGAACAACAGCTGAGGTGGTAATCATACCCTCTTGACTTTCAGTTACCACATAGACTTTCGTTATCTTGGGATGGTAAAAGGTATTGGAGTGGAAGAAAATTTTCAAACATGTACTTTCAATCTGGAGGCTTAAGAATTTTTAGGGATTCTGCTGAGAATATGAAAGTGCTAAATTTTTGTAAGTTCCTGTTGCCACTCCCCATTCCTCAAGATTGGTTATTTTAATAGAATTGTATTAGAAATTACCATATTCATATTACTTTACAAAGCATTGTTGTGTTTCTTTTTTCAGAGTGGAGTATACTCTATGTGACAGTATCTGTTTTTATTTTCATTGTGGTCATAGTAGGACTTGCCTGGTTCTGTATCTGCTGCTGCAAAAGGTACATGATTTGTGTTTCTTTTTCATGGGGTATATGCAAAAACTGCATGCAACTGCCACATTTTAGTCCAGTCCTTAGCACTAAACCATTGAACTCTTTTCAGACATGTGAGGAGCTTCCTGTAGCTATTTGTGTATAGACACACTTTTGTTGAAAAAAGGAGTATCCATTTGTGGCTCTCTACTCTTCCGCATTTTCAAAACCAGAAAGGCAATAATTGGAGTTCTTCATATTAATAGATAATGCATATTAAAATGTTGAGCGTATGCTGCAGATCTTCATGGTCTCCCACAGAGTCCTACAAGGTACCCCATGCTTAAAAAAAAAAAAAAAAAAAAAAAAAATGAAGGTCACTGATGTAGGAGCATCTCCCAACCTGGTGTCAACCTTGGACAGGAAGGGTGGACATGTGGGCTGCATCTGGCTGACAGGCAAGGAATACTCCAGTGATGTCAGTCACACGAACTTCTTGTTTCCTCTTTCCTTAAACAGTTTTGCCTACTACCGTATGCCATTTCCCTCTATACCCTCCGCTCCAGTCTTTCCTAGTGAGCTGATAAAAAATTCTCTTTCGAGTGACAAGTCCCTGCAAGTTCTGTCACTAGAGCAAGTGTTTTTGCTGCTGCTCAAAAAGCCCAGGAAATAGATAGCTTGTTCAGGTGTTAGCAAAAATGAAATGTCATCAAAATCTGTCTGGATTTTCAGCTTTTTCTAGGGTGTCTTTTCAGTCTATGAAGGATGCTCTTTGAAATGTGTGGGAGTTGATACTGGTTTTCTTTTTATGGTTAAAGGAATAGTACTGTTAGAAGAAAGGTTTAAATAGAAGTGTGTCCCACTCCCCCCCTGCAGTGTGGGGTGGAGCCTCATGGGTTTATGTGGATTTGATGAGAAAAGGGATTTTTTTTATGGAGGCCAGCTGCTTCTGTCCCTTGTCCTCATGTGGCTTGTGCCAGAGAGTGTGGGCTGGCTGATGCAGATAGGTGTGAAAAAGAGGAGTGAAATACTGCACAGGACAGAATGGCAAGACATACGCTTTGCCTTGTGGAAACTACAGGAAAAAGATACACTAGTCCAAGATATGGCTGGAGTTTTGAAGGTTTTAAAGACTTTGAGTTGCTAAATTAGCTCCCATTTATTTGCAAGACTATAAAGGAGGCCAAGTGGCTGGTGGTTGCAGAAAAATGCCTGAGGTATGACAGTATCTTCTAGGAGGTGCCCTCTTAGTTTCATGCATGAATGCCCTCATTTCTAGCCTGAAATCCTTTGTTCATTCCCTCTCGATCCAATACAACAAATAGTTCTGTTTTCCTCTGGCTCCAGGACTTTTCTGCTGGTATTAATGAGCAGATGAGTAACTCCTGCAAATAGTTGAACCTTAATATGGAGGTGATGATGTTTGCAACATGTGGAAGTGGATAATGGGGAAGGATTTAAATGAAGAAAGAACTGGTGGGGATTTGCCTACAGACCAGTAGGGTTTTGTCCCTGCATATATATGAGGGAGCCAGTCTCCATTTTTTGTCTGGTCTTGTCTGTAAGCATAACCAGACAAGCACTACTTAAATTTTCTCAGTTAAAAGTAAATTGGGGACTAATCAATTCTTACGGAAATTTTGTTTGGAAACAAATGAATATGTGTCTAGTTACTATGTTGAAATTGAACAAACTGAAAACTCCAGGGGCCTAGGAAAGCAAGTCAGTCTTTCTTGTTTTTTTTGTTGTTGTATGTCAGAAAATAAATTATACCCTCTAGTCCAGATTGTATAGCTGCTTTATTCAGGTACAAACTGGAACAACTCGTTTTAAGTGGACGTGAGAAAGTACAGTGAGGTTCTGTATGTTGGTGTATGTAGCCATGTGTATGAAAAGGGAGAAGGAATGGATTTATGTGTGATTGTAAGAATTAAATGTCTTTATGTTAACTTTCTTTTTAGCAGAAAGAGGACAAAGATAAGAAAGAAAACAAAATATACCATCCTAGATAACATAGACGAGCAGGAGAGAATGGAACTACGACCCAAATATGGTAAGTGCTATCTGTTTCAGCTGAGAGCTCATCCACCAGGCTTACAGTCAGTGTACGTGAATTGACACCTGCAGTCAGCAGGAGCCCAGAAGCTGGCCTGCAAGTTTGGAAATGGCAGAGGCCAGCTTAGACAATGAAATGGTTGGGGGAGGATCACTTCATTTCTTTCGTGAGACCTTGGTTTCAGTTAGTGCTCTGAGCTGCTTTTTTAACCTTAATCTAGAGCATCCAGTTGTCCCACAGATTTTTTTCTATGTAATCCCTCCTCCCCTGCACTTGCTTTGATTTGGAGCTGTTTTATTGCTGCACAGCAGTTCCCTCCTGGCCCATAAGTGCCCTGCTAAATATTAATAGACTTCAACTGCTACCCTCTGTTCACATATATTTTGGCTTACCTAAGTTTCATTTTTTAGCAGGGGAAATACTGCAATCCAGGGAAGTAAAATCATCCTGAGGAACTGTTATCCTAGAAAAACAGATAAAACAATTCTGTAGAGACCATGACCTTCCATTGCCACTTGTGTCAATCACATGGTTGAATGGACAGACTAATTTCCAGATTCAAGCTATTAAAAGTACATCAGGCATGTACTAAGACCTTCTAATTGTGAATATATGTGTTTAAATTTGAAACATTTCAGGGCCATAAACTGATGGACCTGCAGTGAAGTCAGAGTATCTGCCCAACAATAGATGATACCTCCTAGACCAGTTTTAATATTGGTGGTGGCAGTAGTACGCAGTGTTATGCTGGATTGCAGAGAATGTCTTCACTTATCTTTCATATCCCAGCAGAGGAGAGGATGGTTAGTTGTCACTGAAGTGAAACCTTTCTAATAAGTTTGTCCTGTGTTTTTATTGTCAGGTATAAAACACAGAAGTACGGAACACAACTCCAGTCTGATGGTCTCTGAGTCAGAGTTTGACAGTGATCAGGACACTATCTTCAGCAGAGAAAAGATTGAAAGAGAGAATCCTAAAACCCTCATGAATGGATCCATGAGAAATGGAGTTTCCTTCAACTACAGCTCCAAAGACAGATAACCGAATGAGGGTGAAAGCACCGAACATGCTGGTCTAACATGTCTGAAACATGTTGTCCCACCTCTGTTTTTTCCAAACTGAAAGCATCCTAAAATATCAGCGAATTTCAGATGAAAGGGTAAATTTCTAGTACAGTTAGGGGAAGGAAGGGGGAAGGATTAGATGGTCAACTAACTCCTCTTGTCACCATTATAGGAACAAAGAAAAGCACATTTTATTTCTCGCATGTTCCATGCTGAATATCTGAACTTCAGAAGGCCTTTTTACCTGTATCACTGCTACAAAACTAGCCAGGGCTGTTACGCTACTAACAATCGTAACTGAGATGCATATGGATTTGTGTCCTGTGTTGCTGTTTTTCTTGGAGAAGCAGTGTGATTATGATGCTGATCTAAACCAGTGAAAGCCAACATAGATAAAATCCCTTACAGCTGTAAAGAGCAATATGTGACCACAGGCTTCATTTTCAGTTTAGATTGGGAACACAGAGAGAGAGCATTTTTAGTGCATTGTATTTATCTCTGACTGTGCTTTGTGACTTCCTTTTCTATGGTAGTGCTCATCATCAGATGGAAGTGTCTTTGTTGTCAAAGGAAGTTTGCAATTAGCAGTTGCACTTAATCAGCTGTAGTATGATACATCTGTGTCCTGTAGGATGCAATGTTCCCTGTATTTACATAGAAAGTACTGTGCCTGCAGGGATGTCCCGCCTTAGGTTGCTTCTGTAGTGGAGCTCTCTGGAGTCTGCCATGTCCAGCCAGGGAACAGTAGCAGAAAGGCAGGAAGGACTCACTGCGATGCGCCTTCAGAAGCATGTTGAGCATCCCAAACAACTTTTTGCTTAGAGAGCGCTTTTAAGGAGCTCTGGTGCTTTTAAGACTGAACCCTCAGCTGAGATGAGTTTTCACCTGTCAACCCCAGTGCTCAGTTAAAGAATGTGCCAGGCACTTGTAGTGAAATGCTTGTGGCAAAATACCTTATGTGGAGCAGGAGGTTCAACACCTACTTTCATTGTCATGGGGATTGGTACTCAGGAAGGTTTTAGCTTAAACATTATATTGTTTTACTTTTTTCCTCTGTGGCTATTCAGTGACTAGAGGTGTTGGCCCAAAGAGATCCCTGTAGGTGTTTGGGAAGAGTACATGTGTTGGGAGTTCTGATGTTCTTGTTCAAAATCTGAATAACTTCTTTACAGTGTGCTTGTTAAAGCTGTGGACCCAATACTGGTTTTGAAATCCCAAACTGAAGACCTGGCTCTTATACATAGGCCTTGATTGTGGGGGCATCTGTGTTAGTAGTAGTGTCTGGCCATGACATCGTCCTTTCCTGGGGTCCTTTACTGATATGCTGGGAGTCTTGGGCTGAGCTGGAGGAAAGGTGTATTTGGCTGGAGAAAACGTTCCTCTGGGAGTATTTTGTACAGGTGGCTTTTTTTAAAAAAAAAAAAAATCTGTTGATGGGGAATCCATTAACAGAGAAGGGCGAAGCAGTATAGAGATCAAGGGCAGCAGATGACAAGGGTCAGGGAGGGGACATAGCCCACCTCATAACAGAGTCTCAAAATAGACAAGGCAGGTACTCAAAATTAGATTTATTCTAATCAAAATTGTTTAGCACTGATAAGTGTTAGTAAAATACAGGTACAGATGTCTGTCAAATGGAACTAATACTGCATAGCTGACAAGCTTAAGTTTTAGGGATGATGACCCAAAATGTGCAATCTATCACCTAATAAAGTGAGGGCTCTCAACCTCAAGGAGTTACCTTAGGCAGCATCTTGATCCAAGGGGAGAGTCCCTGGCTGTAGACCTGCTCTGAGGAGGACTGGCTCAATTTGCCTTTGGTGGGGGGCGGAGGCATGGGCGAGCCTCCATTTGTACCCTGGTCAGATCTGATCTGTGGTCATATATGGTCAGTGATCTAGAAACGTCTCTCAACTGAGGCATTTCATTGGCTTGAAGGCCTTGTCTGTTGACTGAAGGGCCTTGCCTCTCCTATCCCTCCACAGAGGTGTGGTGACCCGCAAACTGTAGCTTCTAGTTTTAACTCACTCAGTAGCGGAGAAATTTTGGTCTTTATTGAGACAGGTGCACCTGCCACAGCCTTCATCATGAGGAAAAATTTGGTGGAGAATTTTGGGGCTTTCCTCCATCTTTTTGTAGGAGTCCAACACAACAGAGTAATTGGGTTGAACACTATGGCTTCTGTGCTTCTCTGGTTAATGGAATTGGGCAAAAGTCAGAAGTACTGTCTAGGTTGGAAGAAATCAGTAGTCAAAAGTTGCAGCACTATGGCATGCTCCTAACTGGTTTCATACCTTTGATTCTCAAATGCAGCCAGCCTCCTTAAGGCTGCTAATGCTGCACTGAGGAGAGCTGAGCGTGGCTGCAGGAGTCATTGTGGGAGAGGCTGTGAAGAGCTAAAAAGGGCTAATGCATTTTCCAAGTTTTTCCGATACCCACCAGCAAGATGCAGTATATATGGTATGACTTGCTTTCTTTTAGAAGCCAAGTTTTACCTCTATGTGTATGGGGGTTTTAGGCTATATATTGAAATTATTTCATCTCACCTGGCCCCTTCTTGAGTGTGTGTGAGTATATATATATATATTTTTTTTAAATAACTGGGTCAATAAAAGCCAGGTCAGGTTTTGATGTCTTTCAATTTCTGCTCCAGATACAATGTTCACTTTAAACCATTTATGAAAAAAGTTAAGACCCACTCAAAATACTATTTTTTTTTTTCCCTTTTAAAATCAAAATGTTGGGCTTAATCCATTCTGCACAAATTCCCCAAATGTTCTAGCAAGAATTATGCTCTTAGAAAAATGCATTAAAAAAGTGGTTACATAAGCAACTATTGGCCGTGCTGCCATTAATGCTTCTGTTAAATATGGTATCCAATGTGCCTTTATCTATAAATTAATCTTTTAGGACATAGTGCAGTCAGCAGCATCCTTCAGTTTTGTGAAGTCAGTCACTTGTGTATTTTGGGTTTGTTTTACATTTTTAAAGCTGGTGCTGAAGCCTAGGAGGTTGTTATTCCAAGGAATTAAAATTTAGGCATCTTTTTTTAAAAAAAAACAAAACACCTAAAGACTGATTCTCTAGTAAAACTACTGCAGGAATCAGAAACATGCTTTCATTAATGCTGCAGAATGCCCAGAGCTATTCCCCCTCCTACACACACATGCTGTGGGATCAGATCTTTGGATTAATGTTAAGTTCATGTGCCAGGAGAACGTATGCATGATTTAGCTAAGTATTCCTCACTCTAGCAAGTAAGAAACATTAGCCTAACTACTTACTGCATAGGGCCCTAGCAAGTAGAAGCTGCTTACTAAATTCTGTTCTCTCGATGATATTTTCCTTGCTAACAGTATTTTAGTTATGTTTTGAAAGTTGAATATAGTTTAAATTTTTCAACTGCCTCTAATTCTACTACTTGATTCTTCCACCTCCTTGGAAGGAGAAGTCATTCCTCTTACATAAGATCAGGCTTGCTCTTAATATGAAACTTGGACAGAAGTTGAAAATAATGGTTTCTGGCTCTGTGAATGTGTCATATCACTTGTTTGTGTCACTAGGCCAAGCATGATTCTGTCAAGAATTTAGGAGAGACTGTAGCAAGCCTTTTATCTTGATTCAGTATAATTACGTTTTTTTTGTAGAACAGTTCCTTTCTTGCAGGAGGTCAGGTCATACCTGAAAAGAAAGGTTCAGAAAACTAGCAGTTAAGGTGCAAAGAAAATGGTAGAATCCTGATCATAGCCTTCTGGTTTGTGTTACGATGGATTTGAAGCAGGTCCTCAGTCCCCATGTTTACTTCCACACACCATTTTCCTTCATATACAGAAAGAGTGCTGTCAGCTTCTTTGTGAAATAGGGATGGGGATATTCCCAACAGTCTCGTCTGCACTGGAAAGCAGAGGAGACCAGATATACCTTGTCATATATGGCTCAGTCCACTGAAAATAAAGGAAAAATTCAGTTTGATAAGATACAGACTCTCTTTGAAGGGAGACAGCGTGCTGATACTTACAGTTCCCGATAGCCTTGATGTAAGCACTGGATCTTCATTTGCATCTTGGTTTTACATTTATATGTGCTGATGCATGCACAACCAGAGATTGTCCAGCTATGTAAAAGGACTGCTTTTGTTTGCATTTTAACTAATTAGTATATTTCAGAAAAAAACTTACTTACCATTATGCCTGAGGCATTAAACAGGTTCAGTACTCAGCACAGTGTATATGCAGGACGAAACTGCCACGCCGTGAACAGGTCATTAGCTTGTGTTCTTAATTTTCTTGACCAAAATGCTACTGCAGTATGAAGCAAAATTTACCTTGGTAAATCTCCTGAGATGTGAATCCAAATTCTCTGTCCTGTGGTTCAACCTTTCACATTAACAAACTAGATTGCTGAGAAATTAAAGTAAAATGTGAATGTTCTGATTGCAGAGGATTGTTTATTTGGGGAAGGAAAAACGGTTATTCGTGTTTCCTGTGTAAGAGTACATTTTCAACTGTGTCCTTTTAGGTAAACAGCAGTCTCCATCTGATGCATTAGATAGAGGTACTGTTCAGGCATCTGTTTTGTGCTGTCAGCTGTGTTTGCTTATACAATGCTAATTTCACTTATTGGTCTTTTGTATGCAAACAGTGTGTGAACTTGAGTACATGCCTGTGTTCTCTATGCTGCATTTAAATTTTCTTTAGGCAGGTCTGATGTTCTTGAAATAATTGAGTTTGTAGGCAAATTTCCTATTCTTAAGTCTCCAAGTGAAACTAAATTTTGCCCTGCAATGTACTGTTAATGGGCTGTAGTCACCTGGAGCTTTGGGATGGTGGTAACAAAATGTCAGCTACTTTAGTCTTCTGAGCCATTTATGTGAGGTTTGAGAGTGGTAAACATTCCTCTAGAAGGGGGAAATGGGATAGAGGTGAATTAGAGTTTCTTAACATTGCTACTGCTTATCATTGCTCCCTAACTAGAATACTAATCCCATACTTCTGCAGCAAAGGAGAACCCATTTCACATACCTTTTAGGTCCTGAACACCCCAAGGCAAGGGAGGGAACCTTAAAGTTTAGAAATAAAATTTTAATAAGAAGGGAAAAAAGGCAAATCATTTTTTCTTCTGCACAGGCTACAAATCAAGTGCAGGTGAGCCATACATCAGTAGTTTGTCTCTGTATGGAAGCACTTCTCCCTGTGGGTGGATGGGTGAGCTATAACAGAATTTATATTAGGAATCTGTTTCTAGAAAAATGTTATTTATTGCAAATGAGAATGTATTGTAACTGGAACCATTTCTGAGCTGAAATTACTACATTTGTGTAACTACTAATAAAGTTTTGTCTTTACTTCTAGGAACTTGTCAGGTACTCTTTTAGACATGGTATTCTATATTGGTTGGACTCAACACGCAGGTCAGGCTGATAGACAGATGTATACCATAATTTATGTCTGTACTCAAACATAGGTGGTATCTGATCCCTCCCCTTCCTACTGACAAAAAAAAAAACAGTGTCTTTTTTTTCAGAAAGGTAAAATAATTGAGTACATTAGAGGACAGAATAAACCACACTAGTGCAGTTCACATTAAAAGTTTTCATGTGGTGCTTGTCCTCACTTGGTTTAACTGGCTGTGTGTAAATATTCACCAGCTGTCATGCTGAGTGTGGTAATTTCAAAAGCTTTGTGGCTTATTCTATAGCAAATCCCATACTTGAGTTTTATTAAGTACAATGGCTGCTTTGCAGTAATCAAAGATACTAGTGTGCAATGTAACCCAAAATACTGCTGTTAGCTAGGGACACATTATGCTGCCTGTTTCTGAACTGGAAAAGAAAAATCCAGGCATCAGTGTGTGTGATCTTTGTGCTAAATCATGACAATAAAAGGTACTACAAGATCCAAGTGTCTTTCTGTAAGGAGAAACATAAACTGTGGAAGCAGCATAAATGTATTTGGATACATGTTGCCACAGGCTACACGGTACCTCTTGCATTCATAGTGGACTCTACAAGGGAATAGTGGCTGTGGAACGAACTGGTGAGATACTGTCCTTTATTGAAGAATAGAATCAGCTGGTTGGTTATTGCACTGTGTATTTTTGTAACAGCAGTAGCCTCCCTCCTACCCCTGATGCAAGCCCCTAGGCTTGGGGAACAAAGTAATCAGTTGTGATTCCTGAACAACTGAAGCCAGTTGTGCTAAGTAGCTTCAGTGTTCACCTATGAAGCAAATGAACCAACTCCTCATGTCTTGAAAGGTCCTAGGCAGAGAGTTTTGACATTGAAAACACTTTAAACAAGTGCTAAAACTTAAGAGCTTCTGAACACCTTACTTAAGCTAAGAACGTTAGTATCTTAGAAGTTTATGATTGAGAGGATAGGCAGCAGGGATCAAACAACACTGTTTAAAGGGTAACATAAGAAAATAAGATTAATATTGACCTTAACTAAGTCAGGTTGCAAATTAAAAGACAGTTTCTGAGTCTTCAAAACTGTAGTAATTAAATTGAAAGCACTTCCAAAAACCTTATTTTAAATCTTAAATGAAGTAAAGAATTATGAAGTAATTGTATCCTGAAAGCAGGGAAAGGCACTCTAATATATAAAGCCCGTGTCTTGTGACAAAATGTTTGCTTTGGCATAAAAGATTCACATACAAAATGACTGATGGCATATGAGTATGTCAAAGTAGCTTCAGCTATTTGATTTAGATTCAAGGGACTGTAATTGGGGTAACCAGAATCTTACACCTCATGACCATGTAGATGCAAAGACATGTCTTTTTTTCCCAGTGCTAAAGCTGGCAGAACAAAATTCTATGCAAATCTGAGAGACTGAAGTTAATGTGGCTGCTGTCAGTTTGTCAATTGTGTTGAATAACCACAAAATACAGTGCTTTCACAAGTTATTTATTAATTGAAAACATTTTTCCATCACAGTTTTAATATCCAGAAATTGCTAAACTATCACAACTGTAATCAACATAACTGAGGTGTGAGAATTCAAGTATATCTTTTGTTGAAGAATCACAGCTTTTTCTATGAAACAATTTTTAAGATTATTTTGTGCTTAACTGATGTTGATGTTACTGACACAAGGATACTATGCTGGAATCTAACCACAATCCAATCTAGAAAAAGGTATTCTTACAGCTTATTATATACCTTATTTGTAATTAGGGGTTGTGCTTGTTATCAGTCATAGTGAAAGGTATTGTTTGCCAGGAAAAAAGTAAACATTTACTCAATTTTAAGTGTTATTCTCAGAAGACTACCAAGATTTTAAATGCACAAATGGAGCAGATCAGTGAGTTTGCAAAGAATAAAGCAGCAGATTAAAGGATTTATCTTTCAACTGCATTGTTCCAAGACATACACCCATATTCAAGACTGCACTGTCATACAGCAGTAAATGAGGTAACTTTAATTTGGACCTTATACTGCAGTTCACAAGCAGACATATTTTAAGTCTGTGCAATTCCAGTGGCAGATATTTTACCCGTGTACAATACCTGCCAGTGTGCCTGTATCACTGCATTGTGGTAACCAGGCACCAGGTTATAACCACCTTCTAACTAGTTACTCTTTCAAACAGCTGCTTCTTCCATGCTGCTGTATTCCCCAAATTCTGGCAGCCTGTGCACTCAATAGCGTAAGTCAGTAAGTTAGCTATAAGAAAGTTTCCTGCAACTAGTGTAGTAATAGGCCACCCTAATTTTGCTCTTGATAACAAGCACTTATGCTGCAAATGATAGCTGCAATAAGTCCTCACTATCTTAAATGTGCATTTTTGGTGCATCAGAAAGTGTTGGAAAGGCAGTAAGTGTCCTTTAACTGCCCTTCCATTGGCATGATGCACACATACTCTAATGACAGATAATGTGCTGCAAATCTGCCTTGAGACAAGTGTTAAATATAATAATAAAAAATATTTAGAAATAAGTAGCAATCGATGCTACCTTATGTGCGTTTAAAAAAACTCCAATGAAACTCAGTTCTGGCTTGCTTCCCTGCCTCCTCACCCAACCCCAGTCTTGTGTTACCTGGTACCTCTTTGCCTGATTGGATAAAACAGCCTGTTTCATAGGGTACATTCATTAGCGTATACGAAGAAGAGCTTGGTTGCTGCCTTTTATTTTTAATAACTAATGGGTAAAGCCCCACCAAATAAAGTTAACACAGGAAAAAAAAATTTATTCCCCTTAGCCTCTAGTGTTGATTTATTTACCAGATTAGCATTGCACATTTTTTAAAGTGCTGCTTTTGACTGCCATTAAAATAACGTTTGAACAGCATTGTTTGTTTCATATTAAGGAAGCTTGACATCATCTTTTGAGGATGACAATAGTGAGTTGACATGTGGAGTCTCACCTCTAATCATGTCTATTTAAATCTTTATTAGGTCACAAGTTAGCCAAGTTCAGAGGTTCTTAAACCTTCCTCCCTAATGGACATTCACCTGTGTTAACCACAAGGCACAAAGCCCATAGGAATGGAACCATCTATCTGCTCCTGTTCTTTGGAGGTGCTGAGTAATGTTTCTTTAGACATTGAGCAACATTTACATTACTGACTGTACTTCTACCCAAGGAAAGTCACATTCTTTTCACAGAAGGAAGTTTATTTGTATCATTATGTTGCCACTTGTGCTTCCTTGAAACAGCCCTTGTAGTGTCTCATTACAATTCCACAAGTTAATTCCTTCAAGTAAGCATCCCATCTTCCTCCTACTACTCACTAAGCCAGCAACTCCTTGTCCTGGACTGTCCTGTTCCCAGGACTGCTGGGGCTCACAAGCATTATACAAGGGCCATATTTGATCCCAGGTGTGTTAGGCACAAATTACAGCTCTTTGCTTGGAAGCTCAAGAGCTGAATAGCTGGCAGCTCTGCAGCGAGCAGGAACAAGCACAGATGCCTAGCTGTAGCTAAAAGCAATGCTTCGCATTTCATAAGCCACATCAGCTTCTCCCACACTTAAAGAGACGTACCTGCTTCTCAAAGGATGTCACATAACCGTATTAGAAAATGCAAATATTTACGCAAAATTCTAACAGGAGACTGCCACCCCCAAATCCTCCCACATCCACACTGAAACATTAGAGGCAGTGCAGAAGAGTGATGTAGTTTCCCCTTGCCATGGGTTATGATCTATTTTCTTATGCACAAGTCCTCTCAGTTATGCAGGATTAATCCAAGAAAAATAAATGGGCATTCTTCCCTCCTCCTTACTAAAATTATGATCACATTGCTGAAAAACTGGATGTAGAAATAAAGAACATGTAAAAACATATGGCACCACAGAATACTGTTAAGTAGCTACACATACAGAACAGGGTTGCTTAGTTTTAAAGAAGGTAGAAGTTGCATTCATATATACATCTGGTTCAAGAAGCTTATTAAAATTACAGCACTGTTTTCCAAGCTGTTGGGAGTTATGATTTTTGAAGATTTTTATAAGCCTCCAAAGCAGACATATTTCATTTCTAAGTATTCATCAATGCCATATTTTGAACCTTCTCGCCCTAAGCCAGACTCTTTCACCCCACCAAAAGGACCTTCCACTGAGGAGATTATGCCTTCATTAACACCAACCATTCCAACTTCCAGCTGTTCTGCAACTCTCCAGATCTGGGCTGGGTCTTGGGAGTAAAAATACCCTGCCATGCAGACACAGACATACGGGAATTAAAATCAAGAAGAACAATTGTGGAAGACACTGAAAAAAAGACTTACTGACATTAAAAATTGTCACCCTGTAACACATAAAACCATAAAACCACAGAAAGACATTTATCTGACAGGCATACCTGCTAAACCCACATTAGCTGCGTTTGCTATAGCAATAGCTTCTGCTTCAGTTTCAAATCTGTCAATATAAAGAGAAAAAATACAAATGAGGCCTGCAGTTCATCTGGTGTCTTCCTGAATTGCTGACAAGCAGCAGTCTTACCAGAAGTAAGAAAGTCTATTTCCAAAACATCTGATTTCGTTTTCACTTTGAAACAATGGAGGAGTTTCTATCACTTCATTTAAACTGCAGTTAAGTAGTTAAGATTGACTTTATCCTCCCTAGACACTGGCAGCTAAAACATTTACTTCAGATGAGGTAGCCCATTCATTTCCCCAACTATACAAACACTCTCAACTATAAGAGATAACTGTATGTTCTTTCATCACATCTGATTCCTCTGGATGGAGGCAGGGAAAGTTTTAAGGAAAAAAGAGATCTAAGTCATCTTCCGTCAGAAAGACTTAGGACTAGTGAATCACATGACAGACTGTGAAGTGCTGCCTCCTACTTCATGCCACAAATCACAAAGTTGATTAACTTTTTGAAATTTCTTTCAAAGTTGCAGCCATGTTAAAATCGGGTCGAGAGAGAAACAAACCGCATATCCGGAGTTTTCACATGGGTACCCCAGCCTTAATACGAGACTTGTGTGATAGTACAAATACATCATTTGGCAAGCTGTCACTCAAATCTTACTTATTCAAAATAATCTTTCATTGTTTTTTCAAGTGCTATTTTTGGTCTGGAAAATGAATAATCGTACTTGATAACTGGTGCTAAAGGGCCAAATGTCTCCTCTTGGGTGCAAAGCATTTTTGTTGTAACATTACTAAGTAATGTTGGCTCAAAGAAATTCTTCCCCAAGCTGTGTCGTTTCCCTCCAGTCACAATAGATGCTCCTTGAGAAACTGCATCGTTAATGTGTCTCTCTACCTGAAGTATGCAAAACAAAAATCTCAAAGTCAGTGTTAAGGAATGAACACTAGTATATTTTCCACTGAAGAAACAATACTCTCCAGTATTAAATAGAAGATTCTGAAGAGAGGTTTATACTTTGTAGAAGACTCTTTGCAGTGCTATTTAAATTTTTTTCCTGGAATTTTTATTTCTCAGTCTGATGTAATTTCAGATGGACAAACAATGAATATGGCCCCAGTTTCATGGATATTAAAGATTCAGCTTTTCTGCTGAAATGAAAAAGTTATATCTAACATGAGAAAAAGTCTTCTCAGGACTAAGAATTACACCTGATGGCGGTGTTCAAACACTATGAAAACAGAAGTACATGACTGCCATTTAAAGAGAAACAGACAACTTTCAAGATGGTACTGACAAGAACATTTTTCATCCCCTACATCTACAATTCATCCAAAGACAATAAAGTAATGAGGAAAACTGAAGTAGCAGTCTCCTCCTCCACCTGTCCTTTGAAATGACAGAAAGGGAGTTAAGTGACTATATGCAGTACTTATTGTACATATAGATGTATATGATACACACACTATACTCTGTGATGCACAAAGGGAAGGCATGAAGGAAAGAAATCAAAGAATATTTTCATATTCTATTATTTTATAAACAGAAAGAATATGGTAGCATTCAAGTATAATGGGATTCAACACAAGCCTGCATCTAACTGAGCCACAATACTTAGAAAGTGTGAACCACGTAATTTAGTATTATAGAAAATGTGAATTATTGCAATTAAAAAAAAAATTTCCCTGAAGTCATGAGTCCAAAACAGAAGACCTAAACCATGCATGTAAGGTTTCAAGTGATTACAACAGCCAGAGCTCTGGTATTTTTAACCTCAATGGGTTATTCTGCTTAGCTTTTGCCAGACAGGGGCACTGTTCTTCAAAGTAAGCTGTCACAGTGCTTCAGAATTGCAGGATCACAACTCTCACAGTGTATACAATTTCAGTACATGTTCACACAACTGCTAGGAAGGAATCAGGAGGAATCAGTTTCTCCTAAAGGCGGAATCTCTTTTTCCCTTAATGGAAATAGCGGAATGATACATTAACAGGCCACAACTGTTCATACGTATGTATGTATGTGCGGACCTGGAGAACAGAACTGACTTCCAGACATGCTGCAAATACACTCTAACAAAACAAGCATGAAAAGAAGTGAAATACAAATCTAAAATTACTTTATGGATCATAAAAAGGAAATTAAGATGGTAAAAATTAAATCTTTTGTTTATACCTTTTCCACTGCTTTTTCATTAATTAGTGGCCCTTGGGTAGTTTTTGCATCAAATCCATTTCCGACATGTAGCTCACTCTCTATAGCTTTAGCAAACTTTTCCACAAATTTGTCATGGATTCCTTTTTGCACCAGGAAACGGTTTGTGCAAACACAGGTCTGAAAACAAACATGAAAAGAAAAAACATTAATTTATATTGTATTTAATCCATTCATTAATTCATTCTGGCCTTCATGCCACACTGTTGGGTTACTAGAGTGACCTGTCCTCTGCCTCTTCTTCACCATCCTAAGCTGTTACCTAGCTTTGCATTTCTTTCATCACCCCTGTCACTTTAGAAATACAACTTCAACAAGGTGTCAATATGTGCGTGAAATATGCCACACTGCTAAATTTAAGTCGCTTACACTAGGAAAAGGTTTTGTGAGTTCTGTGAATTCTGATACATGGATTAACTGAGGTCCAGAGGCTGCAAGAAAACCTTCTAATGAGACTGCAGAATGCTGGACTGAGCAGCAGAACCTCAAATCACACCTGGTGGTGTGGGGTCTCTTTTCTAACTCCTTCACCGAGTTTTTGCTTTCTTCCTGGAATTTGTTTTTAAGTGCTTTCATTCTCTCAAATGTAACAGCTGCTTTATCTTTCTATGCAGCAGCTGAGGTGCCTATTATGTTAGATCTTGTCCAAACTGAGTCTGATCACTCAACAGTCACAGAATCGTCTAGGTTGGAAAAGACCTTGAAGATCATCCAGTCCAACCACTGACCTAACACTGGCAGCTCCCAACTACATCACATCCCTCAGCGCTATGTCAACTCTACTCTTAAACACCTCCAGGGATGGGGACTCCACCACCTCCCTGGGCAGCCCATTCCAACGCCTAACAACCCCTTCTGGAAAGAAATGCTTCCTAATATCCAGTCTAAACCTTCCCTGGCACAACTTAAGGCCATTACCTCTTGTCCTATGGCTTGTTACTTGGTTAAAGAGACTCATCCCCAGCTCTTTGCAGCCTCCTCTCAGGTAGCTGTAGAGGGTGATGAGGTCTCCCCTCAGCCTCCTCTTCTCCAGACTAAACACCCCCAGTTCCCTCAGCCGCTCCCCATCAGATCTGTGCTCCAGTCCCTGCACCAGCTTCGTTGCTCTTCTCTGGACACGCTCGAGTCATTCAATGTCCTTTTTGTAGTGAGGGGCCCAAAACTGAACACAGGAATCGAGGGGCGGCCTCACCAGTGCCAAGTACAGGGGTAAGATCCCTTCCCTGTCCCTGCTGGCCACGCTATTGCTGACACAAGCCAGGATGCCATTGGCCTTCTTGGCCCCCTGGGCACACTGCTGGCTCCTGTTCAGCCGGCTGTCAATCAGCACCCCCAGTCCCTCTCTGACTGGCAGCTCTCCAGCCACTCCTCCCCAAGCCTGTAGCGCTGCTGGGGGTTGTTGTGGCCCAAGGGCAGCCCCCGGCATTTGGCCTTATGGAAACTCCTCCAGTTGGCCTCAGCCCATGGCTCCAGTCTGTCCAGGTCTCTCTGCAGAGCCTCCCTACCCTCGAGCAGATCAACACTCCCACCCAACTTGGTGTCACCTGCAAACTGACTGAGGGTGCACTCGATCCCCTCGTCTAGATCATCAATAAAGATGTTAAAACAGGAGTGGCCCCAAAACCCAGCCCTGGGGGACACCACTCATGACTGGCCACCAACTGGATTTAACTCCGCTCACCACAACTCTTTGGGCCCGGCCATCCAGACAGTTTTTTGCCCAGCAAAGCGTGTGCCCATCCAAGCCGTGAGCAGTCAGATTTGCCAGGAGAATGCTGTGGGAAACAGCATCAAAGGCCTTACTAAAGTCAAGGTAAACAACACCCACAGCCTTTCCCTCATCCAATAAGCAGGTCGCCCTGTCACAGAAGGAGATCAGGTTTGTCAGGCAGGACCTGCCTTTTATAAACCCATGCTGACTGGGCCTGATCCCCTGGTTGTCCATTATATGACTTAATGGCACTCAGGATGCCCTGCTCCATGACCTTCCCTGGCACCGAGGTCAGACTGACAGGTCTAGAGTTCCCTCGATCATCCTTTCTGCCTTTCTTGTAGATGGTGTCACATTTGTCACCCTCCAGTCCAATGGGACCTCCCCAGTTAGCCATGATTTCAGATAAATCATGGACAGTGGCTTGGCGAGCACATCTGCCAACTCTTTGAGCACCCTTGGGTGTAACCCATCCGGTCCCACAGACTTGTGTGCATCCAAGTGGTGCAGCAGGTCTCTGACCACCTCCTCTTCAACTGTGCTGTTATAAAATACAATCCTGAGAACTGAGGCAGGAGGGTGTCTTTTCACAGCTCTTATTTCTCCAATGAATTTAATGCTAATAACAACACATGACAAAACGCCTTATCACTTCTCATGCTCTTGCAAAGGGTCCTAGTGAATATCCTCCTTGCCAGTGACATTATTGCCTGCCATATATGTTCTGAAAGTACATGGGATTTTACAGTGTTGTTACTCAGACTTGCTGATAACTGACTTGAGTGCCCAGAGCCATGTGCGACTCCAGTACCTTTCCCTTCAAAATGAAGTGTTCTGTGCTTTCCTTTTACATAAAATAGCTTATTTCAGCTTGAACTATATGTACAGCTCTTCACTTTCCAGGAAAAAGGACAGAAAGGTTACTCTTACCTGCCCTGAGTTTCTATACTTAGAAGCAAGGGCTCCTGCAACAGCATGGTCCACATTGGCACTGTCAAACACTATAAAAGGAGCATGTCCTCCAAGCTCCATGGAAACTCGCTTCACAGTGCCAGCTGCATGTTTCAGCAGTATCTGCAGGCAACAGAGGAGACACAGAAATCTGTACCTCTACCAGATGTGAACTGTGGAACCACAGATGGAAGGCAGTGAAAAACTTAACTCTGGCAGGGAATTAATCTGCATTTTTTATATAATGCTAGACCAACTGTTTTTTCCTATGACAAAAACAAGGACTAGCTTCCTTCATTAAAATCTTTAGAGATTAAATTCTGGGCAAGAAATAATGAAGAGAAGGATTTTCATCAACTTCAGTTCAGGTCAGGCTTTTGCACATTAATACAATTACTCTTGTTTGCTTTTCTTTTTTGGTAATAAAAATCTTGACTACTCTTAGAAAGCTTTTCCAAGATCTGACAGAATTTCGGATTAAGATTTGCCTGGATACCATACTCTGCACACACTCGTCTCAGAATTCTATCATCTTCTAGCCACACTCTGCAGTTTTGTTGACTTCATGAGAGATGATGACAACATGACTAAGGTTGACAGGAGAAATTCAAAGGCCTCGCTTCTCTAATACTTTCTCTCAACTGTAGAAATCATTCCTGAATAGTACCTCTAATATTCAATTTCAGTGTTCTTATTAGTATATTGTCACCCTATAATATGAAACAAGATCATCTTGTACCGAACTGTTCACATTATAATTTCATAAAGTGCAGTTATCTGGAAGTTGCACACAGGCATCCTTCTGTGCAGTACCGATACGAAAGTTATCAGGCAGTATCTCAAGAAGCACATAATTAACTGGACAATCTGTGTACAGTAGCCAGAAAACATTGCAGCTCTGTATAAAAGCATACACTTTCCCCCTACCTTTCCAGTATAACCACAGAAATAATCTTCAAGGATGTTCTGTGCACTTATGTACCTTTCCTGTTGCTGTAGAGCCAGTAAAAGATATTTTGGCTACCAATGGATCAGTGCACAGAACTTCCCCTACAGCTGCTGTCTGTTGTCTGGAACAAGGAACAACATTATACACTCCTGCTGGAATTCCAGCCTGGTTTGCAAGCTGCAACAAAAGAAACATAGAATTTGTATTATCAGTGCATTTTGTATGAGGAGTAGTCACTTAAATGTTTATTGTTTTGAAGACATTCCCTGAGTCAGTGGCAGCTGCAAGTGCACAGCACAACCGGTAACAGATGCCACGGTGTCAAGAGAGCGGCTTTGCTCCAATTTAAACTGGCTGTCATTCAAAGTAACCAAAGGAAAGAAATAAAGATGCTTTGTGTAATTAAATGGCCCCATCCTCTTTGAAAATCTACACCATATTAGAGGCAACTTTCAAGGATTCTTACTGAACTAAAACCTCTGAATCAAGTCAGCCAGTTTGTCCTTTCTTCACGTATGAAGCTTGACAGTTATCCTCAAAGCCCATCTGACTTCCCATTTACAGCTTCAGTCCACTGCTAAGGTAAAGCTTAGCATAAAAGCTCACCTCCCCAAGAGCTAATGCAGATAAAGGTGTGTCTTCTGCAGGTTTCACTACCACCGTACAGCCAGCTGCCAGAGCTGCACCAACCTTCCGGGTAATCATAGCGCTGGGGAAATTCCACTAGGATGAGAGAAAAAAAGTGCCATCAAAATAGGCAAAATTTTGCCTCCTGTTTTTGCAGACACATCACTGTTTCTGTAATTATGTGATAACCTAAACAGGCCTGTGCAATGTGCTTTGTCATAAGTGAACATTACAAAGAAGCACTATCGATCCCAGGAAGAAGCGAGTACAAGACAGAAATTAAACTTTATAGGGGTATTTGCCAGGGCTGGAGGAGCCATAAGGCCACAGCCCCATGCTGAGCTGAAAACCTTCATGATTTGAAAAATTCAGCTATGCTTACTGGGGTTATAATGGCTGCCACTCCCACTGGCTGCTTCAGCACCAGGATTCTTCTGTCTTTTGCAGATGCTGGAACGACATCACCATAAACCCGGCGAGCTTCCTCTGCAAACCACTCCAGAAACGAGGCAGAATACAGGATTTCACCCTGTGCTTCTTTCAGAGGCTTCCCCTTTGATTAAATCAGATTGAAGATACACTGTAAGCAACAGATTGAAACAATAAAACCAAATTCAAGTCATTAAGGAATTTCTGTTCTTTTCAGAGTACTTTAAAACTGTGTACAATACAGCCTCCAAAAAGGATTATGACTGCAGCAACAAATTGAAGCCACGCAACTATATACCATCATTGTATAGTCAACGTTTTCTGTGTTGTGCCTAGAGTCATACCTGACAAGAAGAAAAAGTCAGAATAGCAAACTTAGCATGTGTTTATTTACAAACTCCGCAATTAGCTGCTATTACCATCATGAACACCATGCATACCATGGCAAAACAGTTACGTTTATGCAGGGACAAAAGAAATTTGGGGAGTACTACTTTGTACTACTTCCAGGTCTGATCCCCTGGACTGAATGACCATTAGCAGCTGGGACATCACAGAGGAGCTGCTGAAATATCTTCCAGCATGGTTTTATCCAGTGAGCTCCCAGACTGCTCTGTGATGCAAGGCAACCCACACTGAGTGAATCCAACTTGGAGACTTGCTTTAGTAGTTCTGCGTTTTTTTCCCAGTCAATGAAACTGATCAAACACCAATGTTTCTGCCATGAAGACCAGGGTTTAGGCGGATGTATGCTTTTGCACACCATGAAGGACGTGGGTCTGATCTCCACTGAAGTGTTAGGTACTACTGTCACCCAAATAACGTGCTGTTTGTATGTCAGTGAGAGAAATGGTTGAAACGTTATCCATTGACGTAACAGAGCGAGGTGAATGCACAGTGTGTCTACTAGTTCAACTTTCTTTAATTAAAAAAAAAAAATACGGTGGCTCACTGGTGAAATGTATACAGGGTGTTTTGAGGGCTGTCCCGGTTATCTCATTTCCATGTTAGCACTCGTGTTACGGGCTGGCGGCTGGCCCAGGGCTGCACCCACGTCCTCGAGGCCGGGCCGAGGCCCTGCCACCGTACTCACGTTCTCGGCCGTTATGATCCTCGCCAGCTCGTCCTTGTTCTCCAGCATCAGCTCGTACCACCTGCGGAGGCGCACGCTCCTCTCCTGGGAAGAGAGAAGGCAGCCGTGGCCGCCGCCCGGGGCGAGCTTCTCCGAGCGGGCAGAGAAGCCCCAGGAGACCCCCGGGGCAGACTCGGCGGGCGGCCCTGCCCGCGCCAGG